AACTGTTGGACTAATGACTACACCTTAGATCAGCTAGATGCAGGCAAGAGTGTGCAAGGCGGTATTGAATGTGTCAATGTCTGTCATCTTGATTACTTACATTTGTCTCTCGACCTCTGCACCTACGTTGTAAACTTTCATTCATAGTCTAGGTTGTAGCAACCTCATAATGTGTACAGGGAACATTAGAGTATCATGTAGTAGCCTAAACCTATCAATGTTACATTGAACTGGGTGGATGGAATATGAATGACAGTCATCCAACATGCTGCAATAGAAATAAGGCCATGCTCATAAAAATAAAATAATGTGTCCTCCCTCATCTTAAATGTAACCGACCACCACTGGCATGCACCTATTAAGAACTGACTGTTAGAACTGTTAAGGCTCCGTGGATTGATGAGGAATTTAAAAAACGGTATGGTTGAAAGAGACAAGGCAAAAGGAGTCTGGCTGCCCAGTTGATTGGCAAACGTACTGTAAATTGAGAAATTATGTGACTAAACTAGAGAAAAACGAAGATAAATTATATAAAGTATGATGGAAAAAAGCTTTGGAGTACTTTAAATGAATTTATGGGGAGAAAGACGAATTCATCTTTCATTGAATCAGAAGGCTCATTCATCACACAACCTTTTCATATTGGCAATTATTTTAATGACTATTTCATTGGCAAAGTGGGCAAACTCAGACCTGAAATGCCAACAATAAACTGTGAACCATCATATTGATGCATAAAATACCAAATAATGAAATAAAAACATTTTAATTCTGAATTCTGTAAAGTTAGTGTGGGAGAAGTGAAGGGTGGGCAGATGGGCATTTTTACAGAGGATGATGTTGGTTGAGAGAATGCCAAGAGAATGCAAAGCTGTCATCAAGGCAAAGGGTGGCCATTTGAAGAATCTCAAATATAAAATATATTTTGATTTGTTTAACACTTTTTTGGTTACAACATGATTCCATATGTGTTATTTCATAGTTTTGATGTCTTCACTATTATTCTACAATGTAGAAAATAGTAAAAATAAAGAAAAACCCTTGAATGAGTAGGTGTGTCCAAACCTTTGACCGGTAGTGTACATGACCACACCCCCTCCTATACCAAACATTACATTATAACACATCAGAGCATAGACTTCTTTAGCCAAGATTACGTTATAACCAGAATTTCCACCACGTTGGTTTGAGATGCCAGAGTTACAATAAAATCAATTTTCTGGCATTTACATGAATCAGTCCGAGGCCGCAGCTGTGGGATTTCAGATCAGACTGAGTTTCTAATAATAATAATCCATTTAGCAGACGCTTTTATCCAAAGTGACTTACAGTTATGTGTGCATAATTTTTTTTTTTATGTATGAGTGGTCCCGGGGATCGAACCCACTACCCTGGCGTTACAAGCGCCGTGCTCTACCAGCTGAGCTACAGAGGACCACTACCAATACAAACATGCCATGTTCAAGAGGTAACCCCCTACTAGAAAAGACCATGAGGTTGAATTGGAATAGATACAAGAACTGAACCATTATGCCTATGCATCAAACTATGCTGTCACGAACCGGCTCAAAGTTCGTAACAAAAGGGAGACACCGTTGGAGACAAGGAATACCAAAATATATATTTATTAACTAAAGTAAACTAAGTATAATGAACAATGGTGTGAGTAATCAGTATCAGTAGTGTAAGTGAGTGTTATGCATGTATAAAAGTAATAATGCAAGGTGTTGAAAGGTGCTAAAGCAAACAACCAAAAATACCACAACAAAAATCAATAAGGTGTCTGCCTGGAGAGAGTCTCCCTCATGAATGTGGAAGAGGTCCATTTATGCTGGGACACACCCGGCCCAGGTGTTTCCCATGTAGCTGACGACCCTCCCAACTCCGCCCACCGGCATCCTAATAAGGAAACAAGAATAAAGAGAGAGAATACGCAGACAGAGTGGGAGGGGCGTCACAGAGTGGGAGGGGTGTCACAGAGTGGGAGGGGCAACACCGAGTGGGAGGGGCGTCACCGAGTGGGAGGGGCGTCACAGTGCTCAGTTGGTAACCACTTATTTGAAAATACCATTGAATTGGTACACAAGATTGTCTAGAACAGTGGTTCCCAACCTTTTTTGGTTGCCGTACCACCAACTGAATGTTTCTCTGCCCGGAGTACCCCTGAAGAACCCCCTGGTGCGTTTTCCCAGTAACCCTCTGGACTCATTAGTCTTTTCAGGTACCCCCTGGGGTCCTAGTACCCCTGGTTGGGAACCACTGGTCGAGAACTGTACCATTGGTTCGATGCCTCGAGCAAGTTGCAGCCCAGAGCGAGGACGTGGGTTAAAACATAAGTCAATGATGGTTACTTGTTGCGGGCCTAGAGTATAATGATAAAGCTGATCATTTATGCTTGGGATGACCTGAGCGGGACTTGGGGTGTTGATAAGTCAATGTCTCAGCGCAGCCTTGAAATGTGAGGACAGGGTCCAGGCACCAAGATGATTTGGATGGACCCCATCTTCTCTGTAGAACATCTTCTGTTTCCAAAAGGTATCAAATTTATCCACAAAAGTAACTCCAACAGAGCTACAGTAGACTCGTGGCCAGTCGTGTATTGCCAGCAACCTACTGAATCTTTCAATGCCACGACTCAGTGATGGCAATGGGCCATAAAATCCAGTTTATGCCGTTCCGAGCTAGCCACCCTAATGTCATTAGATCCCACATGGACACGACAGCGACAGCCCCCGTGTTCTGGTGTAAAACAGCAGGAAGCAGCCTAGTAATGTCCTGTACCTGAGACCCAGGATAGCACAAGGTTTTTTCCCCGGGAACCGAGATGTTTCTCACCATAGAGTGTGAATAATGTGTGCACTCACTACTGTAAGTCGCTCTGGATAAGAGCGTCTGCTACACGACTAAAAATGTAAAATAGATCTGCCGAATATAAGTCTGGTGAGATGGCAGAGGAGGTCCGGCCGCAAAACCCATTGTGGCTGACTGAGTAGTCGGTGCGTCAGACACCCTCAGCGATGGCGCTGGAACCTCCGAAGCCAGGAGGGCGAAGCTGTTCGACAACTGGATTTGGGTTGGGCTTTGCAACAACAAAGAAGCCCCACTCGCCACAGGCCACTTTCCCCAAATTTGGCCTACGGCGGGTGACGTGCTTCCATGGTTGGGCAGCAGGAATGTTGACAGTATCAGCCGCTAAATCCATCAGAAGCGACAGTCCTGCTCCATTTTCCAGGAAGTGGGAGATATTGATTAGATTGTTGTAAAGATGGGGGAGAGGTATGTCTGTGATAAAGAGATGCACTACTTTTTAACAAACAAGTCCTGCAGCCTCTGGTTCTGTGGTCAGGAGCTGCAAGAAGGACCTAGTTTAGCTGCAGCTGGCCCAGAACAAAGCAGCATGGTCTGGCCCTTCACTGTTAAGAGGGCTAGTATAATATCAACAAGATACATTCCAGTCTCACTTGGCTTAAAGTAGAAGAAAGATTGACTGCATCACTTCTTCTTTTTATGAGAAATATTACTGTAGTGAAAATTCCAAATTGTCTGTATAATAAAATAACATAGTTCTGACAGACATACATACCTCATCAGACATGCCACCAGGGGTCTCTTCACAGTCCCCAAGTCCAAAACCAATTTAAGGCAAAGCACAGTATTGTATAGAGCCATGGTTACATGGAAAACCCTTCCATCTCAAATTACCCAAGCAAACAGCAAAATCAGCTTTAAAAAAACAAACAATAAAACACCTGACAAGACCCCTAGGGATCTGAACTAGATAACAGTGTATGTCTATTTAAAGTACTGTTTTGTCTGAGTGTTTTGTCTGAGTGTTTCGTCTGCACGGGACCCTTTGCATTTCTATATTTATTAATGTATGTAGTTCTATCCTTGAGCTGTTCTTGTCTTTTAATGTTTCATGTTTTGTGTGGACCCCAGGAAGAGTAGCTGCTGCTTTTGCAACAGTTAATGGGGATCCAAATAAAATCCTAAATACACCTGGTATACACCATCCAACGAAATGCTTACTTGCAGGTTCCTTCTTGACATTGCAACAACGATAAGAAATAATAAAAGATTTAATATGAACATAAAGTAAATGGCTCAGTAGAATATAATAGACATTTTAGCATACGTATAATACAGGAAGGCACAATTTATAGTTAAATATCTACACATGTTTTGGGGAAGTGGGGATTGCGGAAAAGTGTTTAGACTGTGCAGAATTGCGAGTGTCAGTCTAAGTGTGTTTGTGACCAAATGATCAGTTATGTTTTATCTTTTGTCCGAGAGAATGTCCAAGAGAGGCTATACTAGCTGTATTGGTATAGCAGGGTCATCATTTCATTAATAGTAATTTTAGAGAGAAAGGGAGGCAACCACTGAGGTGTTGTTGTTTTTATCGCACTGCTTTGCTTTATCTTGGCCAGGTCGCAGTTGTAAATGAGAACATGTTCTCAACTGGCTTCCTGGTTAAATAAAGGTGAAATAAAAAATAAATAATAATAATAATGACAACGGAGGCAACAAGTTGCCTTATCACGCCGCGAGACACAATGAGGGAATTCAATTAAGCTGAACTGCGGTGCACCGGGCTATGGCGTGAACGGGCAAAGGTGGTGAGGGAGGAGCGCCCATCTCAAATCGAACAGTGCGCCGCTGGGTCATGTTGTCAAAAAACGCAGCATGATGCATCGTTCAGAAATATACATATCTTTTCATTAAAATATAGTTTTATTTTCATAGTCAGATAAAGGCAGATAAAGCATGTCCAATCACTTGTGCATGTGAAAACACAGAATCCTACTCATTACTCCACGTGATTAACCTACATCACTTTTGTTTTGTGCCGACTTTGCCGTCGGCCAAAACGGAGACCCTGGCTGGCTGGCTCCATGGCCTGGAGGCAGACCGGTTCACCCGGGGAAGGGCCGGGGCATTAATCGAATCCCCTCTATGCTCTTGTGGACGGCAGTTCTGACGTTGACGTCAACACAGCAATGGCGGATGTAGTGGAGGAAGTTCTTGAAGGCAGCTGGTAAGATTAAATATAATAATCACTATTGTCTGAGATACTGACGACATCAGTCGAGTCAGTGTTTTCATAATATAAAAACTGGTTGTTAGCTACGTTACATTTGGAAAAGTACATTGCCGTTTTGGTGGCGATGATGGTTTTGGACTGTATCGATTAACTACTAGCCGGAGATCGAGTGATGTTCTTCTCTGATAGCCCAGCTAATGTTGGTTAGCCTAGGTAGACTTTCACAAAAAAGTAGCTAGGCTAGTCAGTTCGCTAACCATTGTTTGCAATGCTAGCTAGCTACAACAACAACAACTAGTGTTGTCATTCCTGAGCGACACTGCTGGTATTGTATAGGATTTTGTTGTGTAAATATTGCTAACGTTAGCTAGCTAGCTAGCTGCAGACTCGAGATGTTGTGGCTTCGCTTTTTTTTCTATTGTCAACAGTAGCCACTCATCCCCTATCATCGAAGTTGTCCTGAAGATACCTGACGGCTGTGAAGTGAGGATCTGGCTGCCCAGTGAGGATCTGGCTGCCCCAGCATCTGTGCGTTATGCCGCGTTCAAAACAACTGGGAACTCGGAAATCTCCGACTTTAGCGCGTTTACGACAACTGGGAACTCGGGGAAAAAACGAGCTCCGACTGGGAAAATATGTTTTGAACGTGAAGTCGGAAACTCGGGCATCTTTATATAACTATGACTATCCAACCTGAAGATCACCGACGTTATGATTTGACCTCGGTTATTTCCGAGGTCCTAGTTGTCTTGAAAGCACCTAGAGATGTCGACGATGAATGAGTCTGTCTGGTCTCTGAACGTCCACGAAGTTCCAATTCAAACTCCCATTAGACAGCTCTTCAAGCGTTATAATGTCAAAATACGTTTTATACACACCAAATATGGAGTTTTGCCGAGCAACTATCTTAATTTACTCCCATTACGGCTATACCAGCCGTACTTCCAAAAAGGGATAAATAAAAATGTACAAGCAACCGAAACAATGCCTTTGAGGTGCCAAATATGATTTTGTTTCCGGTTATATTATACATTTTTTGGGACGTACATACCAACCGTAACGGGACTAAATGAAGATGGTTGCTCAGCGAAACTCCATATTTGGTGAGTAATGAACGTATTTTGACATTATAATGCATGCAGAGCTGTCTAATTGAGTTTGAATCGGAGCTTCTTGAGCGTTGTGCAGCGTTCAAAACAACTGGGAACTCGGAACAAAACGAGCCCGACTGGGAAAAAATCTATTTGAACAGTCATCCAACTCAGAATTCCAACTTGGGAACTCGGGCCTCTTTCTAGGACTGGGAATTTCCCGACCTGAATAATCACTGATGTCATGATTTGACCTCATATTTTTCCGAGTTCCCAATTGTTTTGAACGCGGTATTATAGACCAGACACTTCATCCTCGACATCTCTAGCGCACAGAAACTGGAGAAGGTTCTGGCTAGCTAGTGTTTTATGTCTGTGGAGCTGTTCCTGATACAGCTAAACATCACTCAAATCACCTTTTGATGCATAGTGTATCTGAACTAGGGCTGGACGATATGGATAAAATATCATATCACCATATTTTTGACGGTGATTTATGTTTTTGAATAATGTTCTAAATATGCTTTCTGAGTATTCCATGACCCTAGGGTGGATCACACATAAATTATAGTGATTTCAATTAGTCTTTCTCCATTTATACTGTTCAATCTAACTCAAAACCAAAATAATTTTAAACATTTTCATCAATTTCTGCATTTCCTGCACTTGTATTATCATTTTCACACTGTGCCATGCAGCATGGGCAAAAAAATCAAGGCCTAGTTAATTGGTGAACTGTTGGAATCATTGAAATATAATGATTATTCTAATTCTATAGTTGGAATATAGTGGGAAGCAGTGGCGGCTCCTGAAAAAATTCTCAGGGGGGGCAATTTTTCTGATGATTTAGGTGACCTACACACATTTTAAAAAAGATATGTCCAGCAACAACATGAAGACAGGGGCAGCATATAAGTCAATACCAGAAGCATTTATTGACTGATCTCAAAAGTGTTGGCTTACAAAAGCAAAATAAGTTATCACAGTAAAAATAATCAAGGGTGTTCTTTCACATTCCTCAACACTGCATAAACAATATGCATTTCCATAAAACACCTCATCTAATTGTGCCACAAAGTTGACAAGTCCAAGAAAAATACCAGGGTTGGTGGAGCCCTCAGTTTCATCTTTGCCTCGCAAAGCTAACTCAAACACTCCGCAAAACTTCACACACTGGATTAGCCGGCTGAGGATGTGGCGGTTCTTGCTAACCTCATCGTTGTGGCGGCGGACAGCTAGCCTGTATCCCTCATCCAGTTGAGTGGCAATGTTCACTCTCCCCAAAGCAGACAATCTCAAACAGCTATCCATGTGGGTCTTTGACAGCTCATGTTTCTTAATCTTTTCTGAAAGATGGTGCATGTCCGTTACACCAGTCACTGTCCAAGCGGTGCTGTCTGCCGTGCCGCCTTCAGGGTGATAGAGTAAGCAGGGGTAGCAGAAGACTGCATTAGCTACATCACAGCCTGCTAGCCAGGTTTTTCGTTCGTACCAATTTTTGGAAAATCCTCGGGTGTAGGACTTTCCCCCTTTAGTAGAAACCTGTTGAATTATTAAATTTGGTCTGGGAGGTCCTAATTGTTTCGTTGCCAATTTATCTTGATTTGTTCGCCGACAAAAAGGAACTTCTTTCAAAGAGACAATCGAGTTGCACTGAACGCTAGCCATCTTGACAGTAGTACGTGAATTGATTGACGCTGCTACCCGCTATTTTCTTAGTTACGTTCATGGTTATGTTACGTATGACGAAAGCGCGTAAGTGCAAGCCCTCCCGGAACCCATAGAGATTGTATTGAAAGCTCTGATATTTGAAAAAAAAAGATTTTACATGAGAGTCTATGAGAGACTTCTGGGGCGATTTTCAACCTGACTGAAATCGCCCCAAAAGGGGCGGGGCCATTTGAAGCACGACTTTAGCCTGATTGGACATTTAGTGGCAGATCAGACGTCTAGATTAGAACACTGATAACTACTGTTGCCGTGATATAATTGATTAGAAAAAAAATCCCTTCCTTTTCCCGTTTGGCAGTGCGTCGCCCATATCGCCCTAATGAACACACCGCCCCTGGTGGGAAGCACCTTGAGTACATTGTTGTTTGACATGACAACGAATGAATAAGCCAGTGAGAAATTCTTGATAGGGTAGGAACCAAAGTGTTGGTCACTGTTTCCAGGTGACCCTAATTAGATGTTACATTACATGGTTTCTTACTTCATGTAACTAGCTAGCTAACCAACATATTCATGCTTACAGATTCCTCTCTGATAAGATACCATTGCACAAAAATGCTTATCTAGGCCTACACCAGCACTGGTACCAGGCTGTATTAGCTAGCTAGCTACATTTGCTCTGACTCTTAGTACATTTAGCAAGCTAGGTTGCCAGCTAACTAGCGATTAGCATTAACACAATTTTTTTTTGCAACACCTTGCTAAGAAAAGAAACTAGCAGACTGTAGTTTGGAGACCGTAAGATACACAAACTAAGTGTAATTATAGAGCGCTTGTGGAAAGCAGCAGGTCACCAACATTGTTGCATCCATCTGACCATGCGGAGTGAACGGCAAGAAAGTGCTGGTGACTCCGTGGTGGAGTAACTGCTCTCTCCTTGAGTGACGGGGGGCAGGGCTTGGTGGCGTTAGCGGCATGAAGCAGGAGAGGGAGAGAGATGACTCAAGGAGCAAACAGAGTAAACTATAAAAACTGACATGATACGCGGCGGAGTTGAACATTACATTTAACAAACCAAACATTAAAATACTGTTATAGAAGATAAAGTAAAAACTCAAACCAGTCCTTCAATCAATACCGGTGTATATAGTAAAATACAGTATACTGCTCAGCCCTAATCTGAACAATAGCCTTCCTCAGCTTGGTCAGGAATCAGGAGAGTGTAAAACTGTTCAGAAGACATTCTGCTAAATTTGTCATTATAGTAAAGTGAAGGACATTCCAACAGGCTCTGTATACAGTACCAGTCAAAAGTTTGGACACACCTACTCATTCAAGGGTTTATCTTTATTTTTACTATTTTTTACATTGTTGAATAATTGTGAAGACATCGAAACTATGAAATAACACATATGGAATCATGTAGTAAACAAAAAAGTGTTAAACAAATCAAAATATATTTTATATTCTTCAAATAGCCACCCTTTGCCTTGATGACAGCTTGGCACACTCTTGGCATTCTCTCAACCAGCTTAACCTGGAATGCTTTTCCAACAGTCTTGAAGGAGTTCCCACATATGCTGAGCACTTGTTGGCTGCTTTTCCGACTCATCCCAAACCATCTCAGTTGGGTTGAGGTCGGGGGATTGTGGAGGCCAGGTCATCTGATGCAGCACTCCATCACTCACCTTGGTCAAATAGCCCTTACACAGCCTGGAGGTGTGTTGGGTCATTGTCCTGTTGAAAACAAATTATAGTCCCTCTAAGCCCAAACCAGATGGGATGGCGTATCGCTGCAGAATGCTGTGGTAGCCATGCTGGTTGCCATACCAGGCAGTGATAGTCCGGGTAGCCACGATGAGTTGTTCAGGAGTCTTATGGCTTGGGGGTAGAAGCTGTTAAGAAGCCTTTTGGACCTAGACTTGGCGCTCCGGTACCGCTTGCCATGCAGTAGCAGAGAGAACAGTCTATTAATAGGATGGCTGGAGTCGTTGACAGTTTTTAGGGCCTTCCTCTGACACCGCCTGGTATAGAGATCCTGGATGTGCAGTGATGTACTGGGCTGTACGCACTACCCTCTGTAGCGCCTTGCGGGCGGAGGCCGAGCAGTTGCCATACCAGGCGGTGATGCACCGGTCAGGATGCTCTCGATGGTGCAGCTGTAGAACTTTTTGAGGATCTGAGGACCCATGCCAAATCTTTTCAGTCTCCTGAGGGGGAATAGGTTTTGTCGTGCCCTCTTCACGACTGTCTTTGTGTTTGGACCATGATAGTTTGTTGGTGATGTGAACCAAATAACTTGAAGCTCTCAACATATGGCATCATGTAGTAACCAAAAAAGTATTAAACAAATCAAAATATATTTTATATTTGAGATTCTTCAAATAGCCACTCTTTGCCTTGATGACAGCTTTCCACACTTTGGCAATTCTCTCAACCAGCTTCATGAGATAGTCACCTGGAATGAATTTCAATTAATAGGTGTGCCTTGTTAAAAGTTAATTTGTGGAATTTCTTTCCTTCTTAATGCATTTGAGCCAATCAGTTGTGTTGTGACAAGGTAGAGGCGGTACACAGAAGATAGCCCTAATTGGTAAAATACCAAGTCCATATTATGGCAAGAACAGCTCAAATAAGCAAAGAGAAACGACAGTCCATCATTACTTTAAGACATGAAGGTCAGTCAATACGGAACATTTCAAGAACTTTGAAAGTTTCTTCAAGTGCAGTCGCAAAAACCATCAAGCGCTATTATGAAACTGGCTCTCATGAGGACCGCCACAGGAATGGAAAACCCAGAGTTACCTCTGCTGCAGACGTTTTACTTTTTCTATAATTTTTCTATTTTGTATCTGCATTGTTGGGAAGGGCCCTTAAGTAAGCATTTCACTGTTGGTCTACACCTGTTGTTTACCATCCAATGTTCTGTAATAATATAGATAAGGCCCATAAAAATAGAACTCTTCCTCCATGATCCTAAACGCCCCCTGACCTTCACTGGTGTACAGTCAGTGTGTATTTAGCATTTGTGAAATGATTTTGATGAAATTTAAAGGGCTTTATGTTTCTTGAACCGTATCACAATTAAGAATCGATTCACGTTTAGATAGAGTATCTGTCTGTTTTGGCTGCCAGAGCCAGTCTACCTCTGAATATAACATATAAGGTCCTTGGACCTGAGGAAGCAACGGGAGGCTCCTTAAGAGTACATCTTGGGCTACCTTTCACATAGAATGAGCACTGGTTAATCCATTCATTTCAGTATCCTTCCTTCCGGTCATTTGTTATGTGGTTACAAAGACACTGTTCATGGGCAGGGAGAACAGAGACACAGTCTAACAGGCAGGGAATCACTAGGACTGGTTATAACAGGCAGGGAATCACTAGGACTGGTTATAACAGGCAGGGAATCACTAGGACTGGTTATAACAGGCAGGGAATCACTAGGACTGGTTATAACAGGCAGGGAATCACTAGGACTGGTTATAACAGGCAGGGAATCACTAGGACTGGTTATAACAGGCAGGGAATCACTAGGACTGGTTATAACAGACAGGGAATCACTACGACTGGTTATAACAGGCAGGGAATCACTAGGACTGGTTATAACAGGCAGGGAATCACTAGGACTGGTTATAACAGGCAGGGAATCACTAGGACTGGTTATAACAGGCAGGGAATCACTAGGACTAGTTATAACAGGCAGGGAATCACTAGGACTGGTTATAACAGGCAGGGAATCACTAGGACTGGTTATAACAGGCAGGGAATCACTAGGACTGGTTATAACAGGAGGGAATCACTAGGACTGGTTATAACAGGAAGGAATCACTAGGACTGGTTATAACAGGAGGGAATCACTAGGACTGGTTATAACAGGCAGGGAATCACTAGGACTGGTTATAACAGGCAGGGAATCACTAGGACTGGTTATAACAGGAGGGAATCACTAGGACTGGTTATAACAGGCAGGGAATACCTAGGACTGGTTATAACAGGCAGGGAATCACTAGGACTGGTTATAAGAGGAGGGAATCACTAGGACTGGTTATAACAGGCAGGGAATCACTAGGACTGGTTATAACAGGAGGGAATCACTAGGACTGGTTATAACAGGAGGGAATCACTAGGACTGGTTATAACAGGAGGGAATCACTAGGACTGGTTATAACAGGCAGGGAATCACTAGGACTGGTTATGTCTATTCTTTAACAGGGAGTGTCTAGGGTTAGATCTACTGTACAGTATCTAGGGTTAGATCTACTGTACAGTATCTAGGGTTAGGGTTAGATCTACTGTACAGTATCTAGGGTTAGGGTTAGATCTACTGTACAGTATCTAGGGTTAGATCTATTGTACAGTATCTAGGGTTAGGGTGAGATCTACTGTACAGTATCTAGGGTTAGGGTGAGATCTACTGTACATTATCTAGGGTTAGATCTACTGTACAGTATCTAGGGTTAGATCTACTGTACAGTATCTAGGGTTAGGGTTAGATCTACTATACATTATCTAGGGTTAGGGTGAGATCTACTGTACAGTATCTAGGGTTAGGGTGAGATCTACTGTATGGTATCTAGGGTTAGGGTTAGATCTACTGTACGGTATCTAGGGTTAGATCTACTGTACAGTATCTAGGGTTAGGGTTAGATCTACTGTACAGTATCTAGGGTTAGGGTGAGATCTACTGTACAGTATCTAGGGTTAGATCTACTGTACAGTATCTAGGGTTAGATCTACTGTACAGTATCTAGGGTTAGGGTTAGATCTACTGTACAGTATCTAGGGTTAGGGTGAGATCTACTGTACAGTATCTAGGATTAGATCTACTGTACAGTATCTAGGGTTAGATCTACTGTACAGTATCTAGGGTTAGATCTACTGTACAGTATCTAGGGTTAGATCTACTGTACAGTATCTAGGGTTAGATCTACTGTACAGTATCTAGGGTTAGATCTACTGTACAGTATCTAGGGTTAGGGTTAGATCTACTGTACAGTATCTATTGTTAGGGTTAGATCTACTGTACGGTATCTAGGGTTAGGGTTAGATCTACTGTACAGTATCTAGGGTTAGATCTACTGTACAGTATCTAGGGTTAGATCTACTGTACAGTATCTAGGGTGAGATCTACTGGACAGTATCTAGGGTTAGGGTTAGATCTACTGGACAGTATCTAGGGTTAGGGTTAGATCTACTGGACAGTATCTAGGGTTAGGGTTAGATCTACTGGACAGTATCTAGGGTTAGATCTACTGTACAGTATCTAGGGTTAGATCTACTGTACAGTATCTAGGGTTAGGGTTAGATCTACTGTAAAGTATCTAGGGTTAGGGTGAGATCTACTGTACAGTATCTAGGGTTAGGGTTAGATCTACTGTACAGTATCTAGGGTTAGATCTACTGTATGGTATCTAGGGTTAGGGTTAGATCTACTGTACAGTATCTAGGGTTAGATCTACTTTACGGTATCTAGGGTTAGGGTTAGATCTACTGTACAGTATCTAGGGTTAGGGTTAGATCTACTGTACAGTATCTAGGGTTAGATCTACTGTACAGTATCTAGGGTTAGGGTTAGATCTACTGTACAGTATCTAGGGTTAGATCTACTGTACGGTATCTAGGGTTAGATCTACTGTACGGTATCTAGGGTTAGATCTATTGTACAGTATCTAGGGTTAGAGTGAGATCTACTGTACAGTATCTAGGGTTAGATCTACTGTACAGTATCTAGGGTTAGGGTTAGATCTACTGTACAGTATCTAGGGTTAGATCTACTGTACAGTATCTAGGGTTAGGGTTAGATCTACTGTACAGTATCTAGGGTTAGGGTTAGATCTACTGTACAGTATATAGGGTTAGGGTTAGATCTACTGTACAGTATCTAGGGTTAGCGTGAGATCTACTGTACAGTATCTAGGGTTAGGGTGAGATCTACTGTACAGTATCTACGGTTAGGGTGAGATCTACTGTACAGTATCTAGGGTTAGGGTTAGATCTACTGTACAGTATCTAGGGTTAGATCTACTGTACAGTATCTAGGGTTAGATCTACTGTACAGTATCTAGGGTGAGATCTACTGTACAGTATCTAGGGTTAGGGTTAGATCTACTGTATGGTATCTAGGGTTAGGGTTAGATCTACTGTACAGTATCTAGGGTGAGATCTACTGTACGGTATCTAGGGTTAGATCTACTGTACAGTATCTAGGGTTAGATCTACTGTACAGTATCTAGGGTTAGGGTGAGATCTACTGTACAGTATATAGGGTTAGGGTTAGATCTACTGTACAGTATCTAGGGTTAGATCTACTGTACAGTATCTAGGGTTAGATCTACTGTACAGTATCTAGGGTTAGGGTTAGATCTACTGTACAGTATCTAGGGTTAGATCTACTGTACGGTATCTAGGGTTAGATCTACTGTACAGTATCTTGGGTTAGATCTACTGTACAGTATCTAGGGTTAGGGTGAGATCTACTGTACAGTATCTAGGGTTAGGGTTAGATCTACTGTAAAGTATCTAGGGTTAGGGTGAGATCTACTGTACAGTATCTAGGGTTAGGGTGAGATCTACTGTACAGTATCTAGGGTTAGATCTACTGTACAGTATCTAGGGTTAGGGTTAGATCTACTGTACAGTATCTAGGGTTAGATCTACTGTACAGTATCTAGGGTTAGTGTTAGATCTACTGTACAGTATCTAGGGTTAGATCTACTGTACAGTATCTAGGGTTAGATCTACTGTACAGTATCTAGGGTTAGATCTACTGTACAGTATCTAGGGTTAGGGTTAGATCTACTGTACAGTATCTAGGGTTAGATCTACTGTACAGTATCTAGGGTTAGATCTACTGTACAGTATCTAGGGTTAGATCTACTGTACAGTATCTAGGGTTAGGGTTAGATCTACTGTACAGTATCTAGGGTTAGATCTACTGTACAGTATCTAGGGTTAGATCTACTGTACAGTATCTAGGGTTAGGGTTAGATCTACTGTATGGTATCTAGGGTTAGGGTTAGATCTACTGTACAGTATCTAGGGTTAGATCTACTGTACAGTATCTAGGGTTAGATCTACTGTAAAGTATCTAGGGTTAGGGTGAGATCTACTGTACAGTATCTAGGGTTAGGGTGAGATCTACTGTACAGTATCTAGGGTTAGATCTACTGTACAGTATCTAGGGTTAGGGTTAGATCTACTGTACAGTATCTAGGGTTAGATCTACTGTACAGTATCTAGGGTTAGATCTACTGTACAGTATCTAGGGTTAGGGTTAGATCTACTGTACAGTATCTAGGGTTAGATCTACTGTACAGTATCTAGGGTTAGATCTACTGTACAGTATCTAGGGTTAGATCTACTGTACAGTATCTAGGGTTAGGGTTAGATCTACTGTACAGTATCTAGGGTTAGATCTACTGTACAGTATCTAGGGTTAGATCTACTGTACAGTATCTAGGGTTAGATCTACTGTACAGTATCTAGGGTTAGGGTTAGATCTACTGTACAGTATCTAGGGTTAGATCTACTGTACAGTATCTAGGGTTAGATCTACTGTACAGTATCTAGGGTTAGGGTTAGATCTACTGTATGGTATCTAGGGTTAGGGTTAGATCTACTGTACAGTATCTAGGGTTAGATCTACTGTACAGTATCTAGGGTTAGATCTACTGTAAAGTATCTAGGGTTAGGGTGAGATCTACTGTACAGTATCTAGGGTTAGGGTGAGATCTACTTTACAGTATCTAGGGTTAGATCTACTGTACAGTATCTAGGGTTAGGGTTAGATCTACTGTACAGTATCTAGGGTTAGATCTACTGTACAGTATCTAGGGTTAGATCTACTGTACAGTATCTAGGGTTAGGGTTAGATCTACTGTACAGTATCTAGGGTTAGATCTACTGTACAGTATCTAGGGTTAGATCTACTGTACAGTATCTAGGGTTAGATCTACTGTACAGTATCTAGGGTTAGGGTTAGATCTACTGTACAGTATCTAGGGTTAGATCTACTGTACAGTATCTAGGGTTAGATCTACTGTACAGTATCTAGGGTTAGATCTACTGTACAGTATCTAGGGTTAGGGTGAGATCTACTGTACAGTATCTAGGGTTAGGGTTAGAACTACTGTACAGTATCTAGGGTTAGGGTTAGATCTACTGTACAGTATCTAGGGTTAGATCTACTGTACAGTATCTAGGGTTAGGGTTAGATCTACTGTACAGTATCTAGGGTTAGATCTACTGTACAGTATTTAGGGTTAGATCTACTGTACAGTATCTAGGGTTAGGGTTAGATCTACTGTACAGTATCTAGGGTTAGATCTACTGTACAGTATCTAGGGTGAGATCTACTGTACAGTATCTAGGGTTAGATCTACTGTACATTATCTAGGGTTAGGGTTAGATCTACTGTACAGTATCTAGGGTTAGATCTACTGTACAGTATCTAGGGTTAGGGTGAGATCTACTGTACGGTATCTAGGGTTAGATCTACTGTACAGTATCTAGGGTTAGATCTACTGTACAGTATCTAGGGTTAGATCTACTGTACAGTATCTAGGGTTAGGGTGAGATCTACTGTACAGTATCTAGGGTTAGGGTGAGATCTACTGTACAGTATCTAGGGTTAGGGTTAGATCTACTGTACAGTATCTAGGGTTAGATCTACTGTACAGTATCTAGGGTTAGGGTGAGATCTACTGTACATTATCTAGGGTTAGATCTACTGTACAGTATCTAGGGTTAGATCTACTGTACAGTATCTAGGGTTAGGGTTAGATCTACTGTACATTATCTAGGGTTAGGGTGAGATCTACTGTACAGTATCTAGGGTTAGGGTGAGATCTACTGTATGGTATCTAGGGTTAGGGTTAGATCTACTGTACGGTATCTAGGGTTAGATCTACTGTACAGTATCTAGGGTTAGGGTTAGATCTACTGTACAGTATCTAGGGTTAGGGTGAGATCTACTGTACAGTATCTAGGGTTAGATCTACTGTACAGTATCTAGGGTTAGATCTACTGTACAGTATCTAGGGTTAGGGTTAGATCTACTGTACAGTATCTAGGGTTAGGGTGAGATCTACTGTACAGTATCTAGGATTAGATCTACTGTACAGTATCTAGGGTTAGATCTACTGTACAGTATCTAGGGTTAGATCTACTGTACAGTATCTAGGGTTAGATCTACTGTACAGTATCTAGGGTTAGATCTACTGTACAGTATCTAGGGTTAGATCTACTGTACAGTATCTAGGGTTAGGGTTAGATCTACTGTACAGTATCTATTGTTAGGGTTAGATCTACTGTACGGTATCTAGGGTTAGGGTTAGATCTACTGTACAGTATCTAGGGTTAGATCTACTGTACAGTATCTAGGGTTAGATCTACTGTACAGTATCTAGGGTGAGATCTACTGGACAGTATCTAGGGTTAGGGTTAGATCTACTGGACAGTATCTAGGGTTAGGGTTAGATCTACTGGACAGTATCTAGGGTTAGGGTTAGATCTACTGGACAGTATCTAGGGTTAGATCTACTGTACAGTATCTAGGGTTAGATCTACTGTACAGTATCTAGGGTTAGGGTTAGATCTACTGTAAAGTATCTAGGGTTAGGGTGAGATCTACTGTACAGTATCTAGGGTTTGGGTTAGATCTACTGTACAGTATCTAGGGTTAGATCTACTGTACAGTATCTAGGGTTAGATCTACTGTACAGTATATAGGGTTAGGGTTAGATCTACTGTACAGTATCTAGGGTTAGATCTACTGTACAGTATCTAGGGTTAGATCTACTGTACAGTATCTAGGGTGAGATCTACTGTACAGTATATAGGGTTAGGGTTAGATCTACTGTACAGTATCTAGGGTTAGATCTACTGTACAGTATCTAGGGTTTGGGTTAGATCTACTGTACAGTATCTAGGGTTAGATCTACTGTACAGTATCTAGGGTGAGATCTACTGTACAGTATCTAGGGTTAGATCTACTGTACAGTATCTAGGGTTAGGGTTAGAACTACTGTACAGTATCTAGGGTTAGATCTACTGTACAGTATCTAGGGTTAGGGTGAGATCTACTGTACAGTATCTAGGGTTAGATCTACTGTACGGTATCTAGGATTAGATCTACTGTACAGTATCTACGGTTAGGGTTAGATCTACTGTACAGTATCTAGGGTTAGATCTATTGTACAGTATCTACGGTTAGGGTTAGATCTACTGTACAGTATCTAGGGTGAGATCTACTGTACAGTATCTAGGGTTAGGGTGAGATCTACTGTACAGTATCTAGGGTTAGATCTACTGTACGGTATCTAGGGTTAGATCTACTGTACAGTATCTACGGTTAGGGTTAGATCTACTGTACAGTATCTAGGGTTAGATCTACTGTACAGTATCTAGGGTTAGATCTACTGTACAGTATCTAGGGTTAGGGTTAGATCTACTGTACAGTATCTAGGGTTAGATCTACTGTACAGTATCTAGGGTTAGGGTTAGATCTACTGTACAGTATCTACGGTTAGGGTTAGATCTACTGTACAGTATCTACGGTTAGGGTTAGATCTACTGTACAGTATCTACGGTTAGCGTGAGATCTACTGTACAGTATCTAGGGTTAGCGTGAGATCTACTGTACAGTATCTAGGGTTAGCGTGAGATCTACTGTACAGTATCTAGGGTTAGCGTGAGATCTACTGTACAGTATCTAGGGTTAGCGTGAGATCTACTGTACGGTATCTGAGCTCTGTGCTAATGTTTACTGGAACATATTATGCAGTGTCTGTCTGTACCCAGGTGTTCCAGCATGCAGCTGTCTGTCTGTACCCAGGTGTTCCAGCATGCAGCTGTCTGTCTGTACCCAGGTGTTCCAGCATTCAGCTGTCTGTCTGCTTTATGTAACAGAAGAGAAGAGGCCCTGGGCAGCATGCAGGTTAACACTGACCTCCATACCACTGCTCACCCTGCTCTGTGGATTAGAGAGGGGGAAAATATATCGCTATTTCTCCTCTGGAAGGATGTAGCATTATTATTATTATTATTATTCAGTCTACAAAGTAAGGTGTCAAGCTAGGAAAACAGGAATATATCTGATAAACAAAATATTATTTAATTACTACAATGTTTGAGAATATATTTTCTATGTAATAGGTTTACTTACTGCTATAGATGTATTGAAAAGAAAAATGACTGAGAAGTATGCTGTGACAGAAGCAGTGGCTTTAGTCTCAGTCCCCTCCTCAGTACACAGTACTATCCTGATACAGCAGTATAGAACTCTGTCCTCTCCTCAGTACACAGTACTATCCTGATACAGCAGTATAGAACTCTGTCCCCTCCTCAGTACACAGTACTATCCTGATACAGCAGTATAGAACTCTGTCCTCTCCTCAGTACACAGTACTATCCTGATACAGCAGTATAGAACTCTGTCCTCTCCTCAGTACACAGTACTATCCTGATACAGCAGTATAGAACTCTGTCCTCTCCTCAGTACACAGTACTATCCTGAGTATAGAACTCTGTCCCCTCCTCAGTACACAGTACTATCCTGATACAGCAGTATATAACTCTGTCCTCTCCTCAGTACACAGTACTATCCTGATACAGCAGTATATAACTCTGTCCCCTCCTCAATACACAGTACTATCCTGATACAGCAGTATATAACTCTGTCCCCTCCTCAATACACAGTACTATCCTGATACAGCAGTATAGAACTCTGTCCCCTCCTCAATACACAGTACTATCCTGATACAGCAGTATAGAACTCTGTCCCCTCCTCAATACACAGTACTATCCTGATACAGCAGTATAGAACTCTGTCCCCTCCTCAGTACACAGTACTATCCTGATACAGCAGTATAGAACTCTGTCCCCTCCTCAGTACACAGTACTATCCTGATACAGCAGTATAGAACTCTGTCCTCTCCTCAGTACACAGTACTATCCTGATACAGCAGTATAGAACTCTGTCCCCTCCTCAGTACACAGTACTATCCTGATACAGCAGTATAGAACTCTGTCCTCTCCTCAGTACACAGTACTATCCTGATACAGCAGTATAGAACTCTGTCCCCTCCTCAGTACACAGTACTATCCTGATACAGCAGTATATAACTCTGTCCCCTCCTCAGTACACAGTACTATCCTGATACAGCAGTATAGAACTCTGTCCCCTCCTCAGGACACAGTACTATCCTGATACAGCAGTATAGAACTCTGTCCCCTCCTCAGTACACAGTACTATCCTGATACAGCAGTATAGAACTCTGTCCCCTCCTCAGTACGCAGTACTATCCTGATACAGCAGTATAGAACTCTGTCCTCTCCTCAGTACACAGTACTATCCTGATACAGCAGTATAGAACTCTGTCCCCTCCTCAGTACACAGTACTATCCTGATACAGCAGTTAACTCTGTCCTCTCCTCAGTACACAGTACTATCCTGATACAGCAGTTAACTCTGTCCCCTCCTCAGTACACAGTACTATCCTGATACAGCAGTATAGAACTCTGTCCTCTCCTCAGTACACAGTACTATCCTGATACAGCAGTATAGAACTCTGTCCTCTCCTCAGTACACAGTACTATCCTGATACAGCAGTATAGAACTCTGTCCTCTCCTCAGTACACAGTACTATCCTGATACAGCAGTATAGAACTCTGTCCTCTCCTCAGTACACAGTACTATCCTGATACAGCAGTATAGAACTCTGTCCCCTCCTCAGTACACAGTACTATCCTGATACAGCAGTATAGAACTCTGTCCCCTCCTCAGTACACAGTACTATCCTGATACAGCAGTATAGGAACAGTAGGCTATATTGACTTCCTGTTTCTAAAATGATCTGCGCTCCTCTTGCTCTGTAGAACAATCTGCTTCTTTAGAGCTGCTTACCTACCAGATTATCACATTCCAACACCTATCAGTTACTGCAGACCATTTTAGATACATTAAGTCAGTGTAGCCTTTTGTTTCTAGCTCTTCTACTGCTAGTGTCAGGCAGCCTGGATACCATGGTAACAGCAGGGGACTTTGACCACACTCCTCTTGCTCTGTTGAGAAATCTGATTATTTTGTGCTGCTTACTTTACATATTATCAGATTCCAACACCTATCAGTTACTATATAAAAGAGATCCCACCAATCCCCTGTTGTCTCTCTGTGACAGTAGGAAAGTGTCTATCTGCTGGCTAGCAGAGCAGTGAGACGGACACAAGCTGGAAATGGAATGTTCAGGTTGTGAGTGTTGAGGTGTGGCTGTGTTTGATGCTCAGTGGTGTCAGAAATAGACTCTACCTCACATCCCCGTGACATTGGAAAAGCCCTGTGTACAGATGAAACAGTAGTCAAACAAATAGCATATCAGTATTGGAGATACTTAAGAGTTATTGACATTGCTGAAAGATTTAGCGTTAAAACGGTTCAACAGTGTTTGTCTCTCTGACCTGTCCTGTCTTGCTCTCTGACCTGTCCTGTCTTGCTCTCTGACCTGTCCTGTCTTGCACTCTGACCTGTCCTGTCTTGCTCTCTGACCTGTCCTGTCTTGCTCTCTGACCTGTCCTGTCTTGCTCTCTGACCTGTCCTGTCTTGCACTCTGACCTGTCCTGTCTTGCTCTCTGACCTGTCCTGTCTTGCTCTCTGACCTGTCCTGTCATGCTCTCTGACCTGTCCTGTCTTGCTCTCTGACCTGTCCTGTCTTGCACTCTGACCTGTCCTGTCTTGCTCTCTGACCTGTCCTGTCTTGCTCGCTGACCTGTCCTGTCTTGCTCTCTGACCTGTCCTGTCTTGCAACATTGCCCTATAGGTGTTAGATGTTTCTCTGATAGTGTTGCTGTTTCTCTGTCCTGCAGGGATCAGGATCTGGCTGAGGCCCTGGACTCTGGAGGCTCTGACCTGGAGCTAGAGATGGATGTACAGAGGGAGCTGGGGTTGGGAGGAGGGCTGGGGCTGGATGGGGAAGAGGACGGGGGGGTTATTCGAGTCCAGGAGCTACCAGCCCAGCAGAGAGCCAAGCTGTGGAAGGTGAGAGAGGTCAGGGGTCGTGGGTTCGGCCTGCCTTAACAGAGGGGGAGGGATTAGACTAGCGAAGGAGTGGGAGGGGGTCAGAGGGTGAGGAAGGGGTGGAGGGGGTCAGAGGGTGAGGAGGGGGTGGGGGGGGGGGTCAGAGGGTGAGGAAGGGGTGGGGGGGGGTCAGAGGGTGAGGAGGGGGTGGGGGGGGGTCAGAGGGTGAGGATGGAGAGGGGGTGGGGGTGGTCAGAGGGTGAGGATGGAGAGGTGGGTGGGGGGGGGGTCAGAGTGGTGAAGTAGGAGAGGGGGTGGGGGGTTGAGGGACTGGGGTGGGGGTGGTCAGAGGTGAGGATGGAGAGGGGGTGGGGGGTCAGAGTGTGCTTGATGGAGAGGGGTGGGGGGTTGCAAGGGTAGGTGCGCGGGGTTGGGGTGGTCAGAGGGTGGATGGATAGGGGTGGGGGGGTCAGAGGGTGAGGGCCCTGGGAGGGGTGGGGGGGCCCCGAGAGTGATGGGAGGGGGTGGGGGTCAGAGGGTGAGGTTGGAGAGGGGGTGGGGGGATCAGAGGGTGAGGGACTTGGGGGGGTGGGGGGTCAAGGGTGAGGACAGGGGGGTGGGGCTAGGGGGGGTGGGGGGGGTCAGATAGGATGGAGAGGGGGTGGGGGGTCGAGGGTGATTTGGAGAGGGGGTGGGGGATCAGAGGGTGAGGGACTAGGGAGGGGGTGGGGGGGTCAGAGGGTGATGGGTCGTGAGGGTTGGGGGATAGGGAGTGTTGGGGGTCAGGTGTTAGAGCTAGCGGGGGGGTTGAGGACTGGTGTGGGTGGTCAGAGGGTGAGGATGGAAAGGTGTTGGGGTCAGAGGGTTAGATGAGATGGGGTGGGGGGACAGTCAAGGTGTTGGACCGTATGTCTGGGTTGTTCGGGGATCAGAGGTTAGATGGAGATTGGGTCTGGGGCGGTTAGAGGTGAACCTGCGGAAAACTTCTGACTGTCCCGTTCTGTCAGCTACTAATGATGATCTTGGTCCCGTCTGTCAGCTAAACTGATGACTGGTCCCGTCTGTCAGTCTAACTGATGATCTGGTCCCATCTGTCAGTCCTACAAACTGATGATTGGTCCCGTCTGTCAGCTACTAATGATGTCTGATTCCCGTCTGTCAGCTACTAACTGATGATCTGGTCCCGTCTGTCACTACTAACTGATGATTCTGATCCGTCTTCCTCTACTACTAATGTTCTGGTCCTCTGTCTAGCTACTAACTGTATCTTGTCCGTCTGTCAGCTACTAACTGATGTCCTGTTCCCATCTGTCAGCTACTAACTGATGATCTGGTCCCGTCTGTCAGCTCTAACTGATGATCTGGTCCCGTCTGTCATCTACTATGCTGGTCCCGTCTGTCAGCTACTAACTGATGATCTGGTCCCGTCTGTCAGCTACTAACTGATGATCTGGTCCCGTCTGTCAGCTACTAACTGATGATCTGGTCCCGTCTGTCAGCTACTAACTGATGATCTGGTCCCGTCTGTCAGCTACTAACTGATGATCTGGTCCCGTCTGTCACGCTACTAACTGATGATCTGGTCCCGTCTGTCAGCTACTAATGATGACTATGGTCCTGTCTGTCAGCTACTAACTGATGATCTGTCCCTCTGTCAGCTACTAACTGATGATCTGGTTCCCGTCTGTCAGCTCTAACTGATGATCTGTCCGTTCTGTCAGCTACTAAATGATGATCTGGTCCGGTCTGTCAGCTACTAACTGATGATCTGGTCCCGTCTGTCAGCTACTAACTGATGATCTGGTCCCGTCTGTCAGCTACAAATGATGATCTGATCCGTCGTCAGCTATCTAACTGATGATCTGGTCCGCGTCTGTCAGCTGACTAACGGATGTATGGTCCCGTCTGTCAGCATAACTGATGATCTGGGGTTGTCAGCTACTAACTGATGACTGGTCCGTCGGTCAGCTACTAACTGGATGATCTGGTCCCGTCTGTCAGCTACTAACTGATGATCTGGGGTGTCTGTCAGCTACTAACTGATGATCTGGTCCGTCTGTCAGCTACTACTGATGATCTGGTCCCGTCGGTCAGCTTAACTGATGATCTGGGGTCCCGTCTGTCAGCTACAACTGATGATCGGTCCGTCTGGTCAGCTATAACGGATGTTGGTCGGTGGCTGTCAGCTATAACTGATGATCTGGTCCCGGTTGTCAGCTACTAATGATGATCTGGGTCCGTCTGTCAGCTACTAATGATGATCTGGTCCCGTCGGTCAGTCTAACTGATGATCTGGTCCCGGTCTGTCAGCTATACGTGATGATCTCGAGTCCCGTCTGTCAGCTATAACTGATGATCTGGTCCAGTTGTCAGCTACTAAACTGATGATCTGGTCCCGTCTGTCAGCTACTAACTGATGATCTGGTCCCGTCTGTCAGCTACGAAAATGAGGATCTGCGTCCCGTCTGTCAGCTACTAACTGATGATCTGGTCCCGTCTGTCAGCTACTAAACTGATGATCTGGTCCCGTCTGTCAGCTACTAACTGATGATCTGGTCCCGTCTGTCAGCTACTAAATGATGATCTGGATCCCGTTCTGTCAGCTACTACACTGATGATCTGGTCCCGTCTGTCAGCTACTAACTGATGATCTGGTCGTCTGTCAGCTACTAAACTGATGATCTGGTCCCGTCTGTCAGCTACTAACTGATGATCTGGTCCCGTCTGTCAGCTACTAACTGATGATCTGGTCCCGTCTGTCAGCTACTAACTGATGATCTGGTCCCGTCTGTCAGTACTAACTGATGATCTGATCCCGTCTGTCAGCTACTAACTGATGATCTGGTCCCGTCTGTCAGTATAACTGATGATATGATCCCGTCTGTCAGCTACTAACTGATGATCTGGTCCCGTCTGTCAGCTACTAACTGATGATCTGGTCCCGGTCTTGTGCCGTATTTAACTGATGATTGGTCGTCGGGTAGTATAACTGATGATCTGGTCCCGTCTGTCAGCTACTAATGATGTCATCTGTCCTCTCTTTCAGCTACTACTGATGACGTCCCGTCTGTCAGTCTCGAACTAGATCGGGTCCTCGTCAGCTACTAACTGATGATTCGGTCCCGTCTGTCAGCTACTAACTGATGATTGGTCCCTGTCTGTACTACTAACTGGTGATTGGGTCCCGTCTGTCAGCTACTAACTGATGATCTGGTCCCGTCTGTCAGTACTACTGAATCTGGGTCGTGTCTGTCAGTACTAATGATGATTGGCTCCCGTCTGTCAGCTACTACTGATGATGACTGGTTCCCGTCTGTCGCTACTAACTGATAGATCTGGTCCGTCTGTCAGCTACTAACTGATGATCTGGTCCCGTCTGTCAGCTACTAACTGATGATTGGTCCGTCTGTCAGCTCTATGATTGTCCTGGTCCCGTCTGTCAGCTACTAACTGATGATCTGGTCCCGTTTCTGTCAGCTCCTAACTGATGATCTGGATCCCGTCTGGTCAGCTCCTAACTGATGATCTGGTCCATCTGTAGTCTATACATGTGATATGGTCCCGTCATGTCAGATAAACTGATGATCTGGTCCAGTCTGTCAGCTACATAACTGATGATCTGATCCCGGTTCTGTCAGCTACTAACTGATGATTCTGGTCCCGTTCGGTCAGCTACTAAACCTGGATGATTGGTCCCGTCTGTCAGCTACATAACTGAATGATCTGGTGTCCCGTCTGTCGGCGTACTAACTGATAGATCTGGTCCCGGTCTGTCAGCTACTAACTGATGATCTGGTCCCGTCTGTTCAGCTACTAACTGATGAGCTGATCCCGTCTGTCAGTACTAACTGTAATGATCGGGTCCCTCTGTCAGCTACTAACTGATTGATCTGATCCCGTCTGTAGTACTGGGGTTACTAAACTGATGATCTTGGTACCCGTTCGTCAGACTAACTAACTGATTTCTGATTCCAGTCTGGTCAGCTACTAAAAGATGATTGATCCCGTCTGTCAGCATACTAACTGATGATCTGGTCCCGTCTGTCAGCTACTAACTGATGATCTGGTCCCGTCTGTCAGCTACTAACTAGTTGATGTGTTTTGTCAGATTGCTCTGAACGTGGCCGGTAAAGGAGACAGTCTGTCCTCGTGGGATGGAGTCCTGGATCTTCCAGAACAGACCGTCATACACACCCGCTGCCAGCAGCTCATTGGTGAGTGACTGTTACATACAGTATCTACATTATATATACACTACCGGTCAAAAGTTTTAGAACACCTACTCATTCATATATATATAGATAGATAGATAGAGATATACTGAACAATAATAGGAATGCAACAATTTCAAAGATTGTACTGAGTTACAGTTCTTTTAAGGAACTAAGTCAATTGAAATAAATTCATTAGACCTTTTAATCTATGGATTTCACCTGACTGGGAATCTGTTGGTCACAGATACCTTAAACCCCCCCCCCAAAAAAGGTAGGGGCGTGGATCAGAAAACCAGTCAGTATCTGGTGTGACCATTTGCCTCATGCAGCGCGACACATCTCCTTCACATAGAGTTGATCAGGCTGTTGATTGTGGCCTGTGGAATGTTGTCCCACTCCTCTTCAATGACTGTGCGAAGTTGCTGGATATTGGCGGGAACTGGAACACGCTGTCGTACACGTTGATCCAGAGCATCCCAAACATGCTCAATTGGTGACATGTCTGGTGAGCAAGCAGGCCATGGAAGAACTGGGACATTTTCAGCTTCCAGGAATTGTGTACAGATCCTTGTGACATGGGGCCGTGCATTATCATGCTGGAACATGAGGTGATGGTGGTGGATGAATGGCACAACAATGGGCCTCAGGATCTCGTCACGGGTATCTCTGTGCATTCAAATTGCCACCGATAAAATACAGTTGTGTTTGTTGTCCGTAGCTTATGGTAGAAGGAGAAATGCTCACCAACAGGGATATAAACACATTTGTGCACAAAATTAGAAATAAATAAGCTTTTTGTGCGTATGGAAAATGTCTGTGATCTTTTATTTCAGCTCATGAATCCTGGGACCAACACTTTACATGTTGTTTATATTGTTGTTCAGTATACATTATATTACACCTGCCCTGCTCAAGACACTTCATAGGATGGATTATTCTCAGTCATAATTCTGTCTTCCGTAGCTCAGTCGTAATTCTGTCTTCCGTAGCTCAGTCGTAATTCTGTCTTCCGTAGCTCAGTCATAATTCTGTCTTCCGTAGCTCAGTCAAAATTCTGTCAGCAGCACAATATTGAGAACAGACAATAGAAACACAAGTACAAACACCTGCACACGCTGCGTTCTCATACAGTTTGGATCTTATGCAGAAACTGTCAGCTATCATCAGCTTTGCACAGTCCTTTCTCTGCCTGATAGTAGGATGGGTTAGCCAGCAGAACTGACATGGATACTGCTCCAGGACTCAGCCCAGAATAGGCAGCCCTTCATGGGGCACAGAGCCAGGAAAGCCCCAGGCCTTACCTCCAGGAGTAGGCCAGCATATGGTGACACAGTGAAGAGAGACAAACTGAGGGAGAGAATGTTATAGTTGGTTGAAGAATCAATCCTGAGACCTTTCTTCTACAAGACACATTTGCTTGAAAGGTTATTTGCTGGCTAGTCATATTTAGCCCTGGGGCCATATGAATAGAGTCTCATTTAGCCCTGGGGCCATATGAATAGAGTCTCAGAGTAGGAGCGGCTAGTCATATTTAGCCCTGGGGCCATATGAATAGAGTCTCATTTAGCCCTGGGGCCATATGAATAGAGTCTCATTTAGCCCTGGGGCCATATGAATAGAGTCTCATTTAGCCCTGGGGCCATATGAATAGAGTCTCATTTAGCCCTGGGGCCATATGAATAGAGTCTCATTTAGCCCTGGGGCCATATGAATAGAGTCTCATTTAGCCCTGGGGCCATATGAATAGAGTCTCATTTAGCCCTGGGGCCATATGAATAGAGTCTCAGAGTAGGAGCGGCTAGTCTCATTTAGCCCTGGGGCCATATGAATAGAGTCTCAGAGTAGGAGCGCTGATCTAGTATCAGGTCCCTCCGGTCCATCTGATTCGTTATGATGGAAAATCCTAGATCAGCCCTCCTACTCTGAGAGGCTGGATACATATGGCCCCAGGAGGATTTCAGCCCTCCTACTCTGAGAGGCTGGATACATATGGCCCCAGGAGGATTTCAGCCCTCCTACTCTGAGAGGCTGGATACATATGGCCCCAGGAGGATTTCAGCCCTCCTACTCTGAGAGGCTGGATACATATGGCCCCAGGAGGATTTCAGCCCTCCTACTCTGAGAGGCTGAATACATATGGCCCCAGGAGGATTTCAGCCCTCCTACTCTGAGAGGCTGGATACATATGGCCCCAGGAGGATTTCTCTCAACTCTGTTTCCTGAGAGTGATGGACATAGTAATGACCTCTGACCTCTGACCCTGTGTCTCTGCTTCCTGTCTCCAGACCAGCTGGGGGGCGTGGCGGAGGAGGAGGGGCGTGACATGGTGTCTGACGTAGAGTCTGTCATCACGTTCTACTGTAAGTCCCGAAACATCAACTTCACCCCTGACCTCTCCTGGCCACACCTCCTCAAACCTCTGCTGGGCCTGCAGCTGCCCCGCTCCGACCTCTACAACTGCTTCTATGCCATCATGAATAAATATATACCACGGTGAGACACACACACACCTCTACACTAAATATATACCACGGTGAGACAAACACACACCTCTACACTAAATATATACCACGGTGAGACACACACACACCTCTACACTAAATATATACCACGGTGAGACACACACACACCTCTACACTAAATATATACCACGGTGAGACACACACACACCTCTACACTAAATATATACCACGGTGAGACCACAGGAGGTTGGTGGAGGACGGGCCTGTAGTGGAATGGTATCAAATATATCAAACACATGGTTTCCAATCTAGCAATTATTATGAGCCGTCATCCCCTCATCAGGGTTTCCCCCAGACGTTTCACATTTCTGTTTTAACCCTAAACTAGCACGCCTTATTCAATTACTCAACTAATCATCAAGCCTTTGACTAATTGAAATTGAAGGTGTGCCAGTTTAGGGTTAAAACAAACATGTGAAACGTCTTGGTGGGCCGAGGAGAGGGTTGGGAAACCCTGACCTAGATGACTGTTGAAGCCAACAGCTCTGTCTTGGTGGGCCGAGGAGAGGGTTGGGAAACCCTGACCTAGATGACTGTTGAAGCCAACAGCTCTGTCTTGGTGGGCCGAGGAGAGGGTTGGGAAACCCTGATCTAGATGACTGTTGAAGCCAACAGCTCTGTCTTGGTGGGCCGAGGAGAGGGTTGGGAAACCCTGACCTAGATGACTGTTGAAGCCAACAGCTCTGTCTTGGTGGGCCGAGGAGAGGGTTGGGAAAACCCTGACCTAGATGACTGTTGAAGCCAACAGCTCTGTCTTGGTGGGCCGAGGAGAGGGTTGGGAAACCCTGACCTAGATGACTGTTGAAGCCAACACTCTGTCTTGGTGGGGCCGAGGGAGAGGTTGGGAAACCCTGATCTAGATGACTGTTTGAAGGAAGCCAACAGCTCTGTCTTGGTGGGGGTGCCGAGGAGATGGGTTGGGAAACCCTGATCTAGATGACTGTTGAAGCCAACAAGCTCTGTCTTGGTGGGCCAGGAGAGGGGTTGGGAAACCCTGATCTAGATGACTGTTGAAGCCAACGGCTCTGTCGCTGGTGGGGGCCGAGGAGAGGGTTGGGAAACCCTGACCTAGATGACTGTTGAAAGCCAACAGCTCTGTCTTGTGGGCCGAGGAGAGGGGTTGGGAAACCCTGACCGTAGATGACTGTTGAATGGAAGCCCAACAGCTCTGGTCCTTGGTGGGCCGAGGAGATGGGTGGGAAACCCTGATCGAGATGACTGTTGAATGCCAACAGCTTCTGTCTTGGTGGGCCGAGGAGAGGGTTTGGGGAAACCCTGACCTATATGACTGGTTTGTGGGGAAACCATGACTAGATGACTGTAACAACAGCTCTGTCTTGGTGGGCCGAGGAGAGGGTTGGGAAACCCTGACCTAGATGACTGTTGAAGCCAACAGCTCTGTCTTGGTGGACGATGAGAGGGTTGGGAAACCCTGACCTAGATGACTGTTGAAGCCAACACCTCTGTCTTGGTGGACCGAGGAGAGGGTTGGGGAAACCCTGACCTAGATGACTGTTGAAGCCAACAGCTCTGTCTTGGTGGGACCGAGGAGGGGTTGGGAAACCTGACCTAGATGACTGTTGAAGCCAACAGCTCTGTCTTGGTGGGCCGAGGAGAGGGTTGGGAAACCCTGACCTAGATGACTGTGAAGCTTAACAGCTCTGTCTTGGTGGGCCGAGGAGAGGGTTGGGAAACCCTGATCTAGATGACTGTTGAAGCCAACAGCTCTGTCTTGGTGGGCCGAGGAGAGGGTTGGGAAACCCTGACCTAGATGACTGGTTGAAGCCAACAGCTCTGTCTTGGTGGGCCGAGGAGAGGGTTGGGAAACCCTGATCTAGATGACTGTTGAAGCCAACAGCTCTGTCTTGGTGGGCCGAGGAGAGGGTTGGGAAACCCTGACCTAGATGACTGTTGAAGCCAACAGCTCTGTCTTGGTGGGCCGAGGAGAGGGTTGGGAAACCCTGATCTAGATGACTGTGTTGAAGCCAACAGCTCTGTCTTGGTGGGCCGAGGAGAGGGTTGGGAAACCCTGACCTAGATGACTGTTGAAGCCAACAGCTCTGTCTTGGTGGGCCGAGGAGAGGGTTGGGAAACCCTGATCTAGATGACTGTTGAAGCCAACAGCTCTGTCTTGGTGGGCCGAGGAGAGGGTTGGGAAACCCTGACCTAGATGACTGTTGAAGCCAACAGCTCTGTCTTGGTGGGCCGAGGAGAGGGTTGGGAAACCCTGACCTAGATGACTGTTGAAGCCAACAGCTCTGTCTTGGTGGGCCGAGGAGAGGGTTGGGAAACCCTGACCTAGATGACTGTTGAAGCCAACAGCTCTGTCTTGGTGGGCCGAGGAGAGGGTTGGGAAACCCTGATCTAGATGACTGTTGAAGCCAACAGCTCTGTCTTGGTGGGCCGAGGAGAGGGTTGGGAAACCCTGATCTAGATGACTGTTGAAGCCAACAGCTCTGTCTTGGTGGGCCGAGGAGAGGGTTGGGAAACCCTGATCTAGATGACTGTTTGAAGCCAACAGCTCTGTCTTGGTGGGCCGAGGAGAGGGTTGGGAAACCCTGACCTAGATGACTGTTGAAGCCAACAGCTCTGTCTTGGTGGGCCGAGGAGAGGGTTGGGAAACCCTGACCTAGATGACTGTTGAAGCCAACAGCTCTGTCTTGGTGGGCCGAGGAGAGGGTTGGGAAACCCTGATCTAGATGACTGTTGAAGCCAACAGCTCTGTCTTGGTGGGCCGAGGAGAGGGTTGGGAACCCTGACCTAGATGACTGTTGAAGCCAACAGCTCTGTCTTGGTGGGCCGAGGAGAGGGTTGGGAAACCCTGACCTAGATGACTGTTGAAGCCAACAGCTCTGTCTTGGTGGGCCGAGGAGAGGGTTGGGAAACCCTGACCTAGATGACTGTTGAAGCCAACAGCTCTGTCTTGGTGGGCCGAGGAGAGGGTTGGGAAACCCTGATCTAGATGACTGTTGAAGCCAACAGCTCTGTCTTGGTGGGCCGAGGAGAGGGTTGGGAAACCCTGACCTAGATGACTGTTGAAGCCAACAGCTCTGTCTTGGTTGGGCCGAGGAGAGGGTTGGGAAACCCTGATCTAGATGACTGTTGAAGCCAACAGCTCTGTCTTGGTGGGCCGAGGAGAGGGTTGGGAAACCCTGACCTAGATGACTGTTGAAGCCAACAGCTCTGTCTTGGTGGGCCGAGGAGAGGGTGGGAAACCCTGATCTAGATGACTGTGTTGAAGCCAACAGCTCTGTCTTGGTGGGCCGAGGAGATGGTTGGGAAACCCTGACCTAGATGACTGTTGAAGCCAACAGCTCTGTCTTGGTGGGCCGAGGAGAGGGTTGGGAAACCCTGACCTAGATGACTGTTGAAGCCAACAGCTCTGTCTTGGTGGGCCGAGGAGAGGGTTGGGAAACCCTGACCTAGATGACTGTTGAAGCCAACAGCTCTGTCTTGGTGGACCGATGAGAGGGTTGGGAAACCCTGACCTAGATGACTGTTGAAGCCAACAGCTCTGTCTTGGTGGACCGAGGAGAGGGTTGGGAAACCCTGACCTAGATGACTGTTGAAGCCAACAGCTCTGTCTTGGTGGGCCGAGGAGAGGGTTGGGAAACCCTGACCTAGATGACTGTTGAAGCCAACAGCTCTGTCTTGGTGGGCCGAGGAGAGGGTTGGGAAACCTGACCTAGATGACTGTTGAAGCTTAACAGCTCTGTCTTGGTGGGCCGAGGAGAGGGTTGGGAAACCCTGATCTAGATGACTGTTGAAGCCAACAGCTCTGTCTTGGTGGGCCGAGGAGAGGGTTGGGAAACCCTGACCTAGATGACTGTTGAAGCCAACAGCTCTGTCTTGGTGGGCCGAGGAGAGGGTTGGGAAACCCTGATCTAGATGACTGTTGAAGCCAACAGCTCTGTCTTGGTGGGCCGAGGAGAGGGTTGGGAAACCCTGACCTAGATGACTGTTGAAGCCAACAGCTCTGTCTTGGTGGGCCGAGGAGAGGGTTGGGAAACCCTGATCTAGATGACTGTGTTGAAGCCAACAGCTCTGTCTTGGTGGGCCGAGGAGAGGGTTGGGAAACCCTGACCTAGATGACTGTTGAAGCCAACAGCTCTGTCTTGGTGGGCCGAGGAGAGGGTTGGGAAACCCTGATCTAGATGACTGTTGAAGCCAACAGCTCTGTCTTGGTGGGCCGAGGAGAGGGTTGGGAAACCCTGATCTAGATGACTGTTGAAGCCAACAGCTCTGTCTTGGTGGGCCGAGGAGATGGTTGGGAAACCCTGACCTAGATGACTGTTGAAGCCAACAGCTCTGTCTTGGTGGGCCGAGGAGATGGTTGGGAAACCCTGACCTAGATGACTGTTGAAGCCAACAGCTCTGTCTTGGTGGGCCGAGGAGAGGGTTGGGAAACCCTGACCTAGATGACTGTTGAAGCCAACAGCTCTGTCTTGGTGGGCCGAGGAGAGGGTTGGGAAACCCTGACCTAGATGACTGTTGAAGCCAACAGCTCTGTCTTGGTGGACCGAGGAGAGGGTTGGGAAACCCTGACCTAGATGACTGTTGAAGCCAACAGCTCTGTCTTGGTGGGCCGAGGAGAGGGTTGGGAAACCCTGACCTAGATGACTGTTGAAGCCAACAGCTCTGTCTTGGTGGGCCGAGGAGAGGGTTGGGAAACCCTGACCTAGATGACTGTTGAAGCCAACAGCTCTGTCTTGGTGGGCCGAGGAGAGGGTTGGGAAACCCTGATCTAGATGACTGTTGAAGCCAAACAGCTCTGTCTTGGTGGGCCGAGGAGAGGGTTGGGAAACCCTGACCTAGATGACTGTTGAAGCCAACAGCTCTGTCTTGGTGGGCCGAGGAGAGGGTTGGGAAACCCTGATCTAGATGACTGTTGAAGCCAACAGCTCTGTCTTGGTGGGGCCGAGGAGAGGGTTGGGAAACCCTGATCTAGATGACTGTTGAAGCCAACAGCTCTGTCTTGGTGGGCCGAGGAGAGGGTTGGGAAACCCTGACCTAGATGACTGTTGAAGCCAACAGCTCTGTCTTGGTGGGCCGAGGAGAGGGTTGGGAAACCCTGTTCTAGATGACTGTTGAAGCCAACAGCTCTGTCTTGGTGGGCCGAGGAGAGGGTTGGGAAACCCTGACCTAGATGACTGTTGAAGCCAACAGCTCTGTCTTGGTGGGGCCGAGGAGAGGGTTGGGAAACCCTGACCTAGATGACTGTTGAAGCCAACAGCTCTGTCTTGGTGGGCCGAGGAGAGGGTTGGGAAACCCTGACCTAGATGACTGTTGAAGCCAACAGCTCTGTCTTGGTGGGCCGAGGAGAGGGTTGGGAAACCCTGACCTAGATGACTGTTGAAGCCAACAGCTCTGTCTTGGTTGGGCCGAGGAGAGGGTTGGGAAACCCTGATCTAGATGACTGTTGAAGCCAACAGCTCTGTCTTGGTGGGCCGAGGAGAGGGTTGGGAAACCCTGACCTAGATGACTGTTGAAGCCAACAGCTCTGTCTTGGTGGGCCGAGGAGAGGGTTGGGAAACCCTGATCTAGATGACTGTTGAAGCCAACAGCTCTGTCTTGGTGGGCCGAGGAGAGGGTTGGGAAACCCTGACCTAGATGGACTGTTGAAGCCAACAGCTCTGTCTTGGTGGGCCGAGGAGAGGGTTGGGAAACCCTGACCTAGATGACTGTTGAAGCCAACAGCTCTGTCTTGGTGGGCCGAGGAGAGGGTTGGGAAACCCTGATCTAGATGACAATTATATATTCATTTCTTAATGTTTATACCATGTTTATTCTATTACAGACACTTTTAAATGATAAACTTGAGCCGGGGCGGCAGGTGGCTTAGTGGTTAAGAGCGTTGTGCCAGTAACAGAAAGGTCGCTGGTTCTAATCCCAGAGCCCACTAGGTGAAAAATCTGTCGATGTGCCCTTGAGCAAGGCACTTAACCCTAATTGCTCCTGTAAGTCGCTCTGGATAAGAGCGTCTGCTAAATGACCAATTATTAATGATTATTATATAATAACATAGTGTAATTTAGAGATGACTAATGTTATATACACACTCACACACGGACACACACTCACACAACTCTACAACTGCTTCTACGCTGTCATTAATAAATATATACCACAGTGAGACACACACACACCTCTACACTAAATATATACCACAGTGAGACACACACACACACAACACAGTAACACACACACACACACCTCTACACTAAATATATACCACAGTGAGACACACACACACCTCTACACTAAATATATACCACAGTGAGACACACACACACATAACACACACACACACACACACACACACACACACACACACACACCAGCACACACACACCCTGTGCGTAACGAAGGGTATATCTTCCTGTCCAGGGACTGTGTAGCGAAGGGCCGTCCGTTCCACCTGTACAGGCTGCTTCTTCAGTATCATGAACCAGAACTCTGCTCCTTCCTCGACACCAAGAAGATCACCCCAGACTCCTACGCTATACACTGGGTATGTCTATCTAACCCCTAACCCCAGACTCCTCCACTATACCCTGGGTATGTCTATCTAACCCCTAACCCCAGACTCCTCCACTATACCCTGGGTATGTCTATCTAACCCCTAACCCCAGACTCCTCCACTATACCCTGGGTATGTCTATCTAACCCCTAACCCCAGACTCCTCCACTATACACTGGGATATGTCAATACAGCCTATAAGGTTTTAAATGTTCCATTGCAGTGGGATGGTGGATTGTGACTGGTATGTTGTGTGTCCTACAGCTTGGCAGTCTGTTCTCCAGTCACTGCCTTCCAGAGGTGACTCAGGCCATGTGGGACTTCTACCTCCAACAGGCTGACCCCTTCCTCATCTTCTTCCTCCTACTCATCATCCTCGTCAACGCCAAGTACTCACTATTACAACATATTACTAATACAACCCAGATTACAACACATAGCTACCGCAAACTAATATCACAAACTGATCAATACAAGGTCTTCAGTGCTCTTATATTACATTATGGGGTGTGAAATGTGCTTCTTTGAAAATCTGGCTGTTTTTACCGCTGTTTGTTCCCCCTCTAGAGATAACATCCTGTTTGTTCCCCCTCTAGAGATAACATCCTGTTTGTTCCCCGTAGAGATAACATCCTGTTTGTTCCCCCGTAGAGATAACATCCTGTTTGTTCCCCCTCTAGAGATAACATCCAGTTTGTTCCCCTTTAAGGATAACATTCCTGTTTGTTCCCCCGTAGAGATAACATCCTGTTTGTTCCCCTCTAGAGATAACATCCTGTTTGTTCCCCCTCTAGAGATAACATCCTGTTTGTTCCCCCTCTAGAGATAACATCCTGTTTGTTCCCCCTCTAGAGATAACATCCTGTTTGTTCCCCCTCTAGAGATAACATCCTGTTTGTTCCCCCGTAGAGATAACATCCTGTTTGTTCCCCCCGTAGAGATAACATCCTGTTTGTTCCCCCTCTAGAGATAACATCCTGTTTGTTCCCCTCTAGAGATAACATCCTGTTTGTTCCCCCTCTAGAGATAACATCCTGTTTGTTCCCCCCGTAGAGATAACATCCTGTTTGTTCCCCCCGTAGAGATAACATCCTGTTTGTTCCCCCCTAGAGATAACATCCTGTTTGTTCCCCCTCTAGAGATAACATCCTGTTTGTTCCCCCTCTAGAGATAACATCCTGTTTGTTCCCCCTCTAGAGATAACATCCTGTTTGTTCCCCCTCTAGAGATAACATCCTGTTTGTTCCCCCTCTAGAGATAACATCCTGTTTGTTCCCCCCGTAGAGATAACTCCTGTTTGTTCCCCTCGTAGAGATAACATCCTGTTTGTTCCCCCCTAGAGATAACATCCTGTTTGTTCCCCCTCTAGAGATAACATCCTGTTTGTTCCCCCTCTAGAGATAACATCCTGTTTGTTCCCCCCGTAGAGATAACATCCTGTTTGTTCCCCCCGTAGAGATAACATCCTGTTTGTTCCCCTCTAGAGATAACATCTGTTTGTTCCCCCCTAGAGATAACATCCTGTTTGTCCCCCGTAGAGATAACATCCTGTTTGTTCCCCCGTAGAGATAACATCCTGTTTGTTCCCCCTCGTAGAGATAACATCCTGTTTGTTCCCCCTCTAGAGATAACATCCTGTTTGTTCCCCCTTAGAGATAACATCCTGTTTGTTCCCCTCTAGAGATAACATCCTGTTTGTTCCCCTCTAGAGATAACATCCTGTTTGTTCCCCTCTAGAGATAACATCCTGTTTGTTCCCCCTCTAGAGATAACATCCTGTTTGTTCCCCCCTAGAGATAACATCCTGTTTGTTCCCCCCGTAGAGATAACATCCTGTTTGTTCCCCCTCTAGAGATAACATCCTGTTTGTTCCCCCTCTAGAGATAACATCCTGTTTGTTCCCCCTCTAGAGATAACATCCTGTTTGTTCCCCCCGTAGAGATAACATCCTGTTTGTTCCCCCCGTAGAGATAACATCCTGTTTGTTCCCCCTCTAGAGATAACATCCTGTTTGTTCCCCCCGTAGAGATAACATCCTGTTTGTTCCCCCCGTAGAGATAACATCCTGTTTGTTCCCCCGTAGAGATAACATCCTGTTTGTTCCCCCTCTAGAGATAACATCCTGTTTGTTCCCCCTCTAGAGATAACATCCTGTTTGTTCCCCCCTAGAGATAACATCCTGTTTGTTCCCCCCGTAGAGATAACATCCTGTTTGTTCCTCTTAGAGATAACATCCTGTTTGTTCCCCCTCTAGAGATAACATCCTGTTTGTTCCCCCCGTAGAGATAACATCCTGTTTGTTCCCTCTGTAGAGATAACATCCTGTTTGTTCCCCCTCTAGAGATAACATCCTGTGTTCCCCCCGTAGAGATAACATCTGTTTGTTCCCACCCGTAGAGATAACATCCTGTTTGTTCCCCCTCTAGAGATAACATCCTGTTTGTTCCCCCCCCGTAGTAGAAACATCCTGTTTTGTTCCCTCTGTAGAGATAACATCCTGTTTGTTTCCCCCCGTAGAGATAACATCCTGTTGTTCCCCCCGTAGAGATAACATCCTGTTTGTTCCCCCCGTAGAGATAATATCCGTTTTGTCCCCCCTCTAGAGATAACATCCTGTTTGTTCCCCCTCTAGAGATAACATCCTGTTTGTTCCCCCTCTAGAGATAACATCCTGTTTGTTCCCCCTCTAGAGATAACATTCTGCAACGGGAAGGAGACCGTAAAGAAGATATCATCAGTAAGTGATCTGTTTCTGGATTCAGCTTCTAGACTGCTGTGTATTGAATGCAGGACTGTAACCTGTGTGTGTGTTGCAGAGATGTTGGAGGACTCTCCTACCCTGTTAGAGGCTGATGATGTAGAGGACCTGTTCTCTCTGGCCCAGTATTACTGGAGCAAGACCCCTCTGTCTCTCAGAAAGGTAAAGTACTGTTATGGAGCCCTGTTCAATATAACTAACACGGAGCCCTGTTCAATATAACTAACATGGAGCCCTGTTCAATATAACTAACACGGAGCCCTGTTCAATATAACTAACACGGAGCCCTGTTCAATATAACTAACACGGAGCCCTGTTCAATATAACTAACATGGAGCCCTGTTCAATATAACTAACATGGAGCCCTGTTCAATATAACTAACATGGAGCCCTGTTCAATATAACTAACATGGAGCCCTGTTCAATATAACTAACATGGAGCCCTGTTCAATATAACTAACATGGAGCCCTGTTCAATATAACTAACATGGAGCCCTGTTCAATATAACTAAAGTTGCTACATGCCCATGCAGTGATTGACAGTGTTGTGAGGGACGAATAAGCTATGAAAATGTCATTCTTGGAGAACACCTTTAAATTAAGCTGAAATGTGACTGTATTAAGCAGACTTTGTGAGTGTAGGAGAACCAGACTCTGTGAGTGTAGGAGAACCAGACTCTGTGAGTGTAGGAGAACCAGACTCTGTGAGTGTAGGAGAACCAGACTCTGTGAGTGTAGGAGAACCAGACTCTGTGAGTGTAGGAGAACCAGACTCTGTGAGTGTAGGAGAACCAGACTCTGTGAGTGTAGGAGAACCAGACTCTGTGAGTGTAGGAGAACCAGACTCTGTGAGTGTAGGAGAACCAGACTCTGTGAGTGTAGGAGAACCAGACTCTCTGAGTGTAGGAGAACCAGACTCTGTGAGTGTAGGAGAACCAGACTCTGTGAGTGTAGGAGAACCAGACTCTTTGAGTGTAGGAGAACCAGACTCTGTGAGTGTAGGAGAACCAGACTCTACCGTAGGAGAACCAGACTCTGTGACCGTAGGAGAACCAGACTCTGTGAGTGTAGGAGAACCAGACTCTGTGACCGTAGGAGAACCAGACTCTGTGACCGTAGGAGAACCAGACTCTGTGAGTGTAGGAGAACCAGACTCTGTGAGTGTAGGAGAACCAGACTCTGTGAGTGTAGGAGAACCAGACTCTGTGAGTGTAGGAGAACCAGACTCTGTGAGTGTAGGAGAACCAGACTCTGTGAGTGTAGGAGAACCAGACTCTGTGACTGTAGGAGAACCAGACTCTGTGACCGTAGGAGAACCAGACTCTGTTACTCTCTTTCTGTAGGAGAACCAGAACTTGTTTGGGTCCAGCCTGGTGGCTCTGAAGGAGGAAGACATGGATCTGAGTCAGGCTCTGTGTCTCCCTGTGTCTGTCCCTGAGATACTGCAGGCCAACCAGCTGCAGCCTGTGAGTAGCAGCACCCCTGAGGTGCTGTCAAAAAGCATTTCAGTTGGTCTGAAAATGTTAGTGAAACATCAAATGGCTAATTACTGTAAGGATTAATGTAGCAATAACCAAACTGCAAATTACTTTGATATTTCTACTACATGTCTCTATCGGCCTGACCCAGGAAGGGGTTCGGTTCTTTGTGGTGGACTGTCGACCTGCTGAGCAGTACAACGCTGGACATCTCTCTACTGCCTTTCACCTGGACTCAGACCTGGTGAGACCTGGGAGGGGGTGTGGTTGAGGGGCTGGGGGGGGTGGAGAGGAGACTGTAGAGGAGAATATGGAGGGGAGAATATGGAGAGGAGACTGGAGAGGATTCCCTATATAGTGCACTATATGGGTTCTGCTCTCTATGTAGGGAGCAGGCTGCCATTCGGGACCCAGCTCTATGTAGGGAGCAGGCTGCCATTCAGGACCCAGCTCTATGTAGGGAGCAGGCTGCCATTCGGGACCCAGCCGTAATCTTTTAGATGTTGCTGTGTGTGTCTAGATGCTGCAGAACCCATCAGAGTTCAGCCTATCAGTGAAGTCCCTCCTGGAGGCCCAGAAACAGAGTCTGGAGTCTGGCTCCATCGCTAGTGGAGAACATCTCTGCTTCATGGGCTCGGGGAGGGAGGAGGAGGACATGTACATGAACATGGTGCTGGCACACTTCCTACAGGTAGGAGAAGGATTAGACGGTGATTCATCCTACATACTGTTGGGCATTAGTTACATGCCTGTTATTACAATTCAACTTTTCTTATTACAATTCAACCATTTTTATTAACAATTCAACCTTCTTTTATAACAATTCAACCAATCTGTCGGTGCTAATGAGGGGTTTTCTCTCACAGAAAAACAAAGAATACATCAGTATCGCAAAAGGTGGTTTTATGGGTAAGTGTTATTATTAACATTTTTAACAATTAATAGAAGTACATTTATATAAATACTTACTTTGTTTTGATGGGTGCAAACCTAAATGAAACCATGTCTATCCTGTTGTGTTGTCCAGCTCTGCAGCAGCACCTAACAGACATCAATGTGGAGGGACCAGACAACTATGTCCACTGGATAGTCAGCACCTCTGGATCAGCTGAAGTGAGTTCACTGGAGCAGGTCATGGTAGCCACTGTCCAGGGAGAAGTGCACTGGAGCAGGTCATGGTAGCCACTGTCCAGGGAGAAGTGCACTGGAGCAGGTCATGGTAGCCACTGTCCAGGGAGAAGTGCACTGGAGCAGGTCATGGTAGCCACTGTCCAGGGAGAAGTGCACTGGAGCAGGTCATGGTAGCCACTATCCAGGGAGAAGTGCACTGGAGCAGGTCATGGTAGGCACTGTCCAGGGAGAAGTGCACTGGAGCAGGTCATGGTAGCCACTGTCCAGGGAGAAGTGCACTGGAGCAGGTCATGGTAGGCACTGTCCAGGGAGAAGTGCACTGGAGCAGGTCATGGTAGCCACTATCCAGGGAGAAGTGCACTGGAGCAGGTCATGGTAGCCACTGTCCAGGGAGAAGTGCACTGGAGCAGGTATGGTAGGCACTGTCCAGGGAGAAGTGCACTGGAGCAGGTCATGGTAGCCACTGTCCAGGGAGAAGTGCACTGGAGCAGGTCATGGTAGCCACTGTCCAGGGAGAAGTGCACTGGAGCAGGTCATGGTAGCCACTGTCCAGGGAGAAGTGCACTGGAGCAGGTAATGGTTAGGCCACTGTCCAGGGAGAAGTGCACTGGAGCAGGTCATGGTAGCCACTGTCCAGGGAGAAGTGCACTGGAGCAGGTCATGGTAGGCACTGTCCAGGGAGAAGTGCACTGGAGCAGGTCATGGTAGGCACTGTCCAGGGAGAAGTGCACTGGAGCAGGTCATGGTAGCCACTATCCAGGGAGAAGTGCACTGGAGCAGGTCATGGTAGCCACTGTCCAGGGGTAAGTGCACTGGAGCAGGTCATGGTAGCCACTGTCCAGGGAGAAGTGCACTGGAGCAGGTCATGGTAGCCACTGTCCAGGGAGAAGTGCACTGGAGCATGTCCAGGGAGAAGTGCATGAGCAGGTCTGGTAGCCACTGTCCAGGGAGAAGTGCACTGGAGCAGGTCATGGTAGCCACTGTCCAGGGAGAAGTGCACTGGAGCAGGTCATGGTAGGCACTGTCCAGGGAGAAGTGCACTGGAGCAGGTCATGGTAGCCACTGTCCAGGGAGAAGTGCACTGGAGCAGGTCATGGTAGCCACTGTCCAGGGAGAAGTGCACTGGAGCAGGTCATGTTAGGCACTGTCCAGGGAGAAGTGCACTGGAGCAGGTCATGGTAGCCACTGTCCAGGGAGAAGTGCACTGGAGCAGGTCATTGGTAGGCCACTGTCCAGGGAGAAGTGCACTGGAGCAGGTCATGGTAGCCACTATCCAGGGAGAAGTGCACTGGAGCAGGTCATGGTAGCCACTGTCCAGGGAGAAGTGCACTGGAGCAGGTCATGGTAGCCACTGTCCAGGGAGAAGTGCACTGGAGCAGGTCATGGTAGCCACTGTCCAGGGAGAAGTGCACTGGAGCAGGTCATGGTAGCCACTGTCCAGGGAGAAGTGCACTGGAGCAGGTCATGGTAGCCACTGTCCAGGGAGAAGTGCACTGGAGCAGGTCATGGTAGCCACTGTCCAGGGAGAAGTGCACTGGAGCAGGTCATGGTAGCCACTGTCCAGGGAGAAGTGCACTGGAGCAGGTCATGGTAGCCACTGTCCAGGGAGAAGTGCACTGGAGCAGTCATGGTAGCCACTGTCCAGGGAGAAGTGCACTGGAGCAGGTCATGGTAGGCCACTGTCCAGGGAGAAGTGCACTGGAGCAGGTCATGGTAGCCACTGTCCAGGGAGTAAGTGCACTGGAGCAGGTCATGGTAGGCCACTGTCCAGGGAGAAGTGCACTGGAGCAGGTCATGGTAGGCCAACTGTCCAGGGAGAAGTTGCACTGGAGCAGGTCATGTTAGGCAGCTGTCCAGGGAGAAGTGCACTGGAGCAGGTCATGGTAGCCACTGTCCAGGGAGAAGTGCACTGGAGCAGGTCATTGGTAGGCCACTGTCCAGGGAGAAGTGCACTGGAGCAGGTCATGGTAGCCACTGTCCAGGGAGAAGTGCACTGGAGCAGGTCATGGTAGCCACTGTCCAGGGAGAAGTGCACTGGAGCAGGTCATGGTAGCCACTGTCCAGGGAGAAGTGCACTGGAGCAGGTCATGGTAGCCACTGTCCAGGGAGAAGTGCACTGGAGCAGGTCATGGTAGCCACTGTCCAGGGAGAAGTGCACTGGAGCAGTTCTGTCCCCTGTACTCACCTCATTCCCTTTCTGAGGAGATTCTGTTAGTCAGACTTCATATCATTCTCTCTATGAGAAAGACTGAGTTAAAGCCCAATGGACAATGTAGGAACCTACAAACATGATTAGTACATGTGTGAAGGGATTTAGGGCCATTTATAATGACATTTCCATTCCCAGATGAATCTTGTTGATACGTTCCTACATTCACAGCTTCAACTCTGTCTTTTCTCCTGTCCTCTATCTTGTTATTCATTATCTCTCTCTCTCAATTCAGTTAAACTGAACAAACATATAAATGCAACAATTTCAAAGATTTTACTGAGTTACAGTTCATGTGAGGAAATCAGTCATTTGAAATAAATTCATTAGGCCCTCATCCATGGATTTCACGACTGGAAATACAGATATGCGTCTATTATTCACAGATAACATTTTTTTTAAATGGGCCTCACAATGGGCCTCAGGATCTCGTCACGGTATCTCTGTGCATTCAAATTGCCATCGATAAAATGCAATTGTGTTTGTTGTCCATAGCTTATACCTGCCCATATCATAACCCCACCGCCACCATGGGGGCACTCTGTTCACAACATTGACATCAGCAAACCGCTCGCCCACATGACGCCATTCACATGGTCTGTGGTTGTGAGGCCGGTTGGACGTACTGCCAAATTCTCTAAAACGACGTTGGAGACGGCTTATGGTAGAGAAATTAACATTCAATTCTCTGGCAACAGCTCTGGTGGACATTCCTGCAGTCAGCATGCCAATTGCACGCTCCCTCAAAACTTTAGACATCTGTGGCATTGTGTTGTGCTACAAAACTGCACATTTTAGAGTGGCCTTTTATTGTCCCCAGCACAAGGTGCATCTGTGTAATGATCATGCTGTTTAATCAGCTTCTTGATATGCCACACCTGTCAGGTGGATGGATTATCTTGGCAAAGGAGAAATGCTCACTAACAGGGATGTAAACAAATTTGTGCGCACATTTGGGATCGTTTATTTCAGCTCATGAAACATGGGACCAACACTTTACATGTTGCGTTTATATTTTTGTTCAGTGTAGTATGCAGTTTGTTCGGCTTTGATGCCTCATGATTGAGTATTGCTCTGTTCAAGTAGGCTGTGATTTTGCTGTCATCTGATAGGGGTGTCAGTGGGCTGACTGTGAACGCTCTGAGAGACTCTGGGTTGAGGTCAGTGATAAAGTAGTCTACAGTACTACTGCCAAGAGATGAGCTATAGGTGTACCTACCATAGGAGTCCCCTCGAAGCCTACCATTGACTATGTACAGACCCAGCATGCGTCAGAGCTGCAGGACCTGTTTTTGTTGGTTGTTTTGTCATAGTTGTGCCTAGGGGGGCATATGGGGGAGGGAATGCTGTCACCTCCAGGTAGGTGTTTGTCCCCCTGTGTGCTGAGGGTGTCAGGTTCTTGTCCAGTTCTGGCATTTAGGTCGCCACAGACTAGTACATGTCCCTGGGTCTGGAAATTATTGATTTTCCCCTCCAGGATGGAGAAGCTGTCTTCATTAAAGTATGGGGATTCTAGTGGGTGGATATAGGTAACACACAGGAGGACATTTTTCTCTGTTGAGATCATTTCCTTATTTATTTCTAGCCAAATGTAAAATGTTCCTGTTTTGATTAATTTAATAGAGTGAGTTAGGTCTGCTTTATACCAAATGAGCATACCCCCTGATATTCCAGGATGAAATAGTGAAGGCTTTGTGTTCCATAAAGTGTCTAATGTTGTTGGTCGTGTGGTTTGGCCTCAGGCCAGTAAGTGTGAGCAGAGCCTGCTGAGCATCTGGTACATGCCATTGGCTTGGGCTAGTGTAAGAGTGGGGGTTGGGCCTGTTTGCCTGCTCACGGCCTGGGCATATGTGTGACTTTCATGTTGAGGCCCTCTTTGCGGGGGTGGGGGGCATGGGGTGGGTAGGAGGGGCATAGGTCTGATCTGGGGGGGCCTATATGGAGTGTGGGCATGATTGGTTTGTGGGGGTATTGATTGGTTGGGGTGGGGGTGTGGATGTGGCTGGTGGTGCTGTGGTCTGAATGTAGGTCCTCTCGGCGGGGGTCCTCTATGTGTAGGTCCGGGTGGGGTCCCGCAGGTCTGGGAGAATGTCTCGCTGGTCTGGGTGGGGTGTCTGTTGATCTGTTGCTTCTGTGTGAGGTGTTGGGTCTGTGGTTGAGGGCGATATCCTTTAGGGTCCGGGTGAAGGTGGGCACTGCTGCCTTGTATAGGTGGACCTGGTCCTAAAGGCTGTTCACGTCCAGGGTGGAGTGGTGGGCCAGGTAGACATTTGGTTTTGAGGCACAGTCACGGGAAATACAGCGTCTACTCGCTGTATGGTTCCAGGGTGGAAAGCACTCTGATCCTCTCCTCCAGTACTCTGATCCTCTCCTCCAGCACTCTGATCCTCTCCTCCAGCACTCTGATCCTCTCCTCCAGCACTCTGATCCTCTCCTCCAGCACTCTGATCCTCTCCTCCAGCACTCTGATCCTCTCCTCCAGTACTCTGATCCTCTCCTCCAGCACTCTGATCCTCTCCTCTAGTGCTCTGTTCTTCCCCTGCTCTTTCTCCTGTTGGTGTTGTGGGGTGGGGGAGTCTTCCTCTTTCTCCTGTTGATGTTGTGGGGTGGGGGAGTCTTCCTCTTTCTCCTGTTGGTGTTGTGGGGTGGGGGAGTCTTCCTCTTTCTCCTGTTGGTGTTGTGGGGTGGGGGAGTCTTCCTCTTTCTCCTGTTGGTGTTGTGGGGTGGGGGAGTCTTCCTCTTTCTCCTGTTGGTGTTGTGGGGTGGGGGAGTCTTCCTCTTTCTCCTGTTGGTGTTGTGGGGTGGGGGAGTCTTCTCTTTCTCCTGTTGGTGTTGTGGGGTGGGGGAGTCTTCCTCTTTCTCCTGTTGGTGTTGTGGGGTGGGGGAGTCTTCCTCTTTCTCCTGTTGGTGTTGTGGGGTGGGGGAGTCTTCCTCTTTCTCCTGTTGGTGTTGTGGGGTGGGGGAGTCTTCCTCTTTCTCCTGTTTGGTGTTGTGGGGTGGGGGAGTCTTCCTCTTTCTCCTGTTGGTGTTGTGGGGGTGGGGGAGTCTTCCTCTTTCTCCTGTTGGTGTTGTGGGGTGGGGGGAGTCTTCCTCTTTCTCTGTTGGTGTTGTGGGGTGGGGGAGTCTTCCTCTTTCTCTGTTGGTGTTGTGGGGTGGGGAGTCTTCCTCTTTCTCCTGTTGGTGTTGTGGGGTGGGGGAGTCTTCCTCTTTCTCCTGTTGGTGTTGTGGGGTGGGGGAGTCTTCCTCTTTCTCCTGTTGATGTTGTGGGGTGGGGGAGTCTTCCTCAAGAAAGAGCTTCTCCTGCTGCTCTCCGTCTTTGATTCTATGAAAGTCCAGCTGAAACTGTTTGGGGATGCCCTGTACCAATACCACACTCTCCTGCCATTGTTGGGCTCAAGGGCTCAGTGCTAATTGAAGTTGCAGCCGGATCTGTTCTGTCCTAGCAAGCTTGGTAGCCTTAACTTAGCATTCAGTCCTTATAAAGTAAAATAGATTATTGTAATGTATTTTTCTTCTTGGCTTTAAAAGTAGCTTCAGACTAAACATTACTCACTCAGTTCCAGGTTGGATGGTGTTTTCAGACTAAACATTACTCACCCTGTTCCAGGTTGGATGGTGTTTTCAGACTAAACATTACTCACCCTGTTCCAGGTTGGATGGTGTTTTCAGACTAAACATTACTCACCCAGTTCCAGGTTGGATGGTGTTTTCAGACTAAACATGACTCACCCAGTTCCAGGTTGGAAGGTGTTTTCAGACTAAACATGACTCACTCAGGTGTTTTCAGGTGTCTGTTGTGCTTCTGTTGATGGTCGTTGGTTTGCCAGAGCATTTGCTGTATAGTCCTTAGGAATAAGAATCTTTGGTAGTAGAAATCCTTCCAGGTAATTTTGTCCAAGATCAGGTTGTAGGTTTGGAGTTTTGATTTGGAGTGAAGGTTATGTTGTGGAGAGTAGTATCCTGTAAATGTCCTTGTGGAAAAATCAAAGTTTATCTTACTCTAAATCTATCTTTTTGTAAGTCGCTCTGGATAAGAGCGTCTGCTAAATGACGAAAATGTAAATGTAAAAATTCAAGAGCTCATCTGCTAATGATCTCCTCTTCTCTTCTCTTCTCTCTCCTCCTCTCCTTCTCTCTCCTTCTCTCTCCTTTCTTTCTTCTTTCTTTCTTTCTTTCTTTCCCCCACACACAGGGAGAGTCATTGAGCACCACAGGGGATAAAGGAGTCAAGTCTCTGGTCAACAAGATGACCTTTGCCCTCAAGTCCAAGTCTGTCATAGCGAAGGAGAAGATGATAAGCTTCATGGAGAACACCGCTACACCTGTGGACAGGTAAGATCCTCCTCCTACTGTCTGTTAATATGGACAGGTAAGATCCTCCTCCTACTGTCTGTTAATATGGACAGGTAAGATCCTCCTCCTACTGTCTGTTAATATGGACAGGCAAGATCCTCCTCCTACTGTCTGTTAATATGGACAGGTAAGATCCTCCTCCTACTGTCTGTTAATATGGACAGGTAAGATCCTCCTTCTACTGTCTGTTAATATGGACAGGTAAGATCCTCCTCCTACTGTCTGTTAATATGGACAGGTAAGATCCTACTGTCTGTTAATATGGACAGGTAAGATCCTCCTCCTACTGTCTGTTAATAACTTCCTAATCGTCTGTTAATATGGACAGGTAAGATCCTCCTCCTACTGTCTGTTAATATGGACAGGTAAGATCCTCCTCCTACTGTCTGTTAATATGGACAGGTAAGATCCTCCTCCTACTGTCTGTTAATATGGACAGGTAAGATCCTCCTCCTACTGTCTGTTAATATGGACAGGTAAGATCCTCCTCCTACTGTCTGTTAATATGGACAGGTAAGATCCTCCTCCTACTGTCTGTTAATATGGACAGGTAAGATCCTGTCCTAACATGGTCATATTAAAAACATGCCTTCATTAAAGCCTTCCTTGCTCAGGACTCATCCCTCCCTTGAGTAATTTGTGTTATTTATATCTAATCAGGGGATAATGATGGACTTCACTCCTGTAATTCAATTTTCATAATGACTTAATTAATTAAACCCCTCATCGTTGTGCCTTAATTTAACCCCTCATCGTTGTGCCTTAATTTAACCCCTCATGGGGGGCCCTTAAGGAACCCCTCTTTGCTGTCCCTTTAATTTAAACCCCTCATCTTTGTCCCTTTAAATTTTAAAACCCCCCCCTCACGCTGTCCCTTTTTAAACCCCCCTTCATTCAAAACCCCGAATTTAACCCCTCATCGTGTGTCCTTAATTTTAAAAACCCTATCTTTGGGCCTTTAAATTTTAAAACCCCCATTAAGGGCCCCTTTAAATTTAACCCCTCATCGTTGTCCCTTAATTAACCCCCCTCTTTCCGTTGTCCAAATTTTAACCCCCTCTTTGTGTGTTTAAATTTAAACCCCCACTTTGGGCCCTTAAATTTTAACCCCCATGTTGTTCCCTTAATTAACCCCCTCATCGCTGTGCTTAATTTTAACCCCCAAATTCTCATTGCCCCTTAAAATTTAAACCCCCTTCGTGTCCCTTTAAATTTTAAACCCCCTATCGGTGCCTTAAGGTTAACCCCTAAAGGTGTCCCTTAAATTTAAAACCCCCCTTCTTTCATTGGGGTAAATTTAAAAACCCCTTAATCTTTGGGGGCCCTTAAAAAACCCTCACGTTTTTGTTAAATTTTAAACCCCCCTCACTCATTGTGCCTTAATTTAAAAACCCCCTTTTCTTTTGGGCCTTTAATTTTTCCCCCCTTATCTCGGGGGCCCCTTAATTTAACCCCTCATTGCTGTGCCTTAATTTTAAACCCCTTTAATCGTTGTCCCTTTAATTTAACCCCTATCGTTTCCCTTAAATTTTAACCCCTCTCGGTCCCTTTAATTTAAAACCCCTCATCTCTTGTGCCTTTTTTTAAACCCCCCCTGTTGTGCCTTTAATTTAACCCCCCATTTTTGTCCCTTAAATTTTAACCCCCTCATTGTTCCCTTTAATTTTAAAACCCCTCATCTTTGGGGCCCTTTAAATTTTCCCCCTCACTTTTTGTGCCAAATTTAAACCCCTCATCGCTGGCCTTTTTTTAACCCCTCATTTCAGTCCCTTAATTTTCCCCTTCACGCTGTCCCAAATTTTAACCCCCCTAATTAATTGCCCCTTAAATTTAACCCCTCATGGGTTGGGCCCTTTTTTTAACCCCTCATGGGGCCTTTTTTAAACCCCTCTTTGCTGTCCTTTAATTTTAACCCCATGGGCTGTCCCTTAAATTTTTAACCCCTATTCTTTTGGGCCCTTAATTTAACCCTCATTGGGGGTTTAATTTAAACCCCCTAATTCATTGTCCCTTAAATTTTAAAACCCCCTCATCTTTGGGGGCCTTAAATTTTAAACCCCCCTCCGTGTGTTTAAATTTAAACCCCCTATGGTCCCAAAATTTAAAACCCCCTCGGTGTCCCTTTAATTTTAACCCCCTCATGTGTCCCTTTAATTTAAAACCCAATATCTCTTTGGGGCCTTTAAATTTTTAACCCCCTCATCTCTTTGTCCCTTTAATTTTCCCCCCTCACTTTGTCCCTTTAATTTTAAACCCCCCTCATGGGTCCCAATTTAACCCCCTAATTCATTGGGGCCTTTAAAATTTAACCCCCCTATATTTGGCCTTAATTTAAACCCCCTTCATCATGGTCCCTTTTAATTTAACCCCAATCTTTTTTCCCTTTAAATTTTAAACCCCTCATCTCTTTGTCCCTTTAAATTTGAACCCCCATTTGGGCCTTTAAATTTTTAACCCCTCATTTGGGTGCCTAAATTGCCCCCCTCTTTGGGCGTCCCTTAAATTTTAAAACCCCCTAAAGTTTTTCCCTTAAATTTAAAACCCCTTCATCGGGGGGCCTTTAATTTTAAACCCCTCATTGCTGTCCCTTAAATTTTAAACCCCCCTCTCCCCATTGTCCCTTTAATTTAACCCCCTCATGCGTCCCTTTTTTTCCCCCCCCTAATTCATTGCGCCAAATTTTAAACCCTCTTTGGTCCCTAATTTAACCCCCTATCTTTTGGGCATTAATTTTTAAACCCTTATCGTGTACCAAAATTTAACCCCCTCATCTCTTTGGGGCCAAATTTGGAACCCCTCATTCATTGTGCCTTAATTAAACCCCCTCATTCTTTGGTCCCTTTAAATTTAAACCCCCCTCTCTCAGGTCCCAAATTTTAAACCCAATCATTTCCCTTTTAAATTTAAACCCCCCCTCACCCATTGGCCTTAATTGAACCCCTCTTTGGGGGGCCTTTAAATTTTAACCCCCCTTTCATCTTTTGTCCCTTAATTTAACCCCCTCACGCGGGGCTTTAATTTAAAACCCCTCATTTATTGTCCCTTAATTTAAACCCCCTCACGCTGTCCCTTTTTTTAAACCCCCCTTTTTTTTCCCTTTCCCTTTGCGCTTAAATTTTAAACCCCTTTCTTTGCGTCCCTTAATTTTTAACCCCTCATTCTTGGGCCCTTAAATTTAAACCCCCTCATCTTTGGGCCCTTTAATTTTAACCCCCCTCATCTGGCCTTAAAAAACCCCCCCCTCATCTCATTGTCCCTTAATTAACCCCCTCATTTTATTGGTTTTAAATTTTAACCCCATCATTGTGCCTTTTTTTAAAACCCCCAAAATTTACCCTTTAAATTTAAAACCCCCTCATCTTTTGTGCCTAATTAAACCCCCTCTTTGTGTCCCTTTAATTTTAAACCCCCTATCTCTTTGGGTTTAATTGAACCCTAATCGGGGTGCCTTAATTTAAACCCCTAAATTGCTGTCCAAAAATTTTAACCCCCCTCTTTCCCTTGTCCCTTTAATTTTAAACCCCCTATCGTTTTGCCTTTTTTTAAACCCCTCATTCATTGCCCCCTTTTAATTTAAAAACCTTCATTGGGGCCCTTAAATTTAACCCCCCTCATTAATTGTGCAAATTTTAACCCCCTTATGGGTTGTCCCTTAAATTTTAAACCCCCCTTTCTTCATTGTCCCCTTAAATTTGGAACCCCTAAACGCTGTGCCAAATTTTAACCCCTCATTGTGTTTTAAATTTAAAACCCTCCTCTCATTGTCCCTTTAAATTTAAAACCCCTCATTGCTGTGCCTTAAAAAAACCCCTCACTAATTTTTCCCTTTAATTTAACCCATCATGGGGCCCTTAAATTTAAACCCCCCTAAATCTCTTTGGGCCTTTAAATTGAACCCCTCCCTTTGTCCCTTTAAATTTTAACCCCTCACGGGGGCCCTTTAAATTTTAAACCCCTCTTTGCTGTGCCTTAATTAACCCCCATCTTTTGTCCCTTAATTTAAAACCCCTCATCGTTGTCCCTTTAAATTTCCCCCCCAAACCGGGGCCTTTAAATTTAACCCCCTCATCTCATGTCCCTTTTAATTAAACCCCCTCTTTTGCTGTGCCTTAATTTAAACCCCTATCGTTGTCCCTTTAATTAAACCCTCATCGGGGCCCTTTTTTTAAACCCCCTCATTGTTTGTCCCTTTTAATTTAACCCCCTCATCTAATTGTTTTTTAAATTTTAACCCTATCGCATCCCTTAAATTTAAACCCCCCTTTCATCCAGGGGGCCTTTTAATTTTTAAACCCTTTCATTGCGGTGCCTTTTTTTAAACCCCCTAATTTTAGCCTTAATTAACCCCTCATTCTTTGTCCCTTAAATTAAACCCCCTCTTTGGGGGATTTTAAATTTTAAAACCCCCTATCTCTTTGTCCCTTTTAAATTTGAACCCCTCATTGGGGGTGCCTTTTTTAAACCCCCTCATGGGGGCCTTTAAATTTAAAACCCTATCGCTGTCCCTTTAATTTTAACCCCTCTTTGTTTGTGCCTTTTTTAACCCCCTCATTCATTGTGCCTTTTTTAAAACCCCTCACGCGTCCCTTTAATTTTAAACCCCCCTAATCCCCATTGCGCCTTAATTTAAAACCCTTCTTTGCGTGCCTTAAAACCCCCTATCATTGTCCCTTAATTTTAAACCTTTATTTTGGTCCCTTTAATTTTAACCCCCCCTCACCCATTGGCCAAGGGAACCCCCTCATTCATGGCAAAATTTTAACCCCCCTCTTTCCCCTTTGGGCCTTAATTTAAACCCCTTTAATCATTGTCCCTTAAATTTTTAACCCCCCTCATCTCATTGTCCCTTTAAATTTAAACCCCTTTTTGCGTCCCTTTAATTTTAACCCCCTCATCTCATTGTGCCTTAATTGAACCCCTCATCGCGGGGCCAAAAAAAAAACCCCTCATTGCGTGCCTAATTTTAACCCCTCACCC